TTTATAGTATCATACTGTCAGAAAGTTGGTCTCGGCACGGCGAATGTGCACGCTTCAGTGGTAGTCTCGAACTATCAGCGGTGGACTGTATTTCTTTGAGTACATGGGTCACCCTACCATAAATAGTGTTAGTGTGCATTTCTAGGTCATACGGTTCATGTGTCTTGACTAGTAAAGGTAGTACTCGCCATTATTTTGTTTGTAAATTTCTGCTACAGTAAATGATCGGTTGTCTTGTAAGCTGTCCTTCTGTGAGATTCAAACTCTGCTTCAACAAATAACGGAAGGTAAGAAAGAGAAAAACTTGTTCTTCTTCCTTCCCAAGTTCATTTCCGGTAGAGTTCTTCTTCCTTCCCAAGTTCACTTCCAGTAGAGTACCGGTTGTATAATGAATAAAGTCATGGATCTATATACAACGCGAACAACTCACAAACAACCCACGTAGCGCGTAATTTAATCATAATTCTATATAATCGTTACTACTTTTACATACTGCACGCAGCGACCCATCTACGTCATACTTCCAGCCGGAGCTAGCTGTAGATAGGCAGCTATATAATTTATTTCTTTTAAAGTTATATTACCTTTGATTCTTTAAAGCTATATTACCTCAGATGTTTTAAAGCTATATTACCCTAGATCCTTTAAAGCTATATTACCATATGTACTTTAAAGCAATATTACCATAGATACTTTAGAGCTATATTACCATAGATCCTTTAAAGCTATATTACCATAGATACTCTATCCTTTAAAGCTATATTACCATAGATGTTTTAAAGCTATATTACCATAGATCCTTTAAAGCTATATTACCTTAGATCCTTTAAAGCTATATTACCATAGATCCTTTAAAGCTATATTACCTTAGATCCTTTAAAGCTATATTACCATATATCCTTTAAAGCTATATTACCTTAGATCCTTTAAAGCTATATTACCATAGATCCTTAAACGCTATATTGCCCTAGATCCTTTAAAGCTATAGATCCTTTAAAGCTATATTACCTTATATCCTTTAAAGCTATATTACCATAGATCCTTTAAAGCTATATTACCTTAGATCATTTAAAGCTATATTACCATAGATCCTTTAAAGCTATATTACCTTAGATCCTTTAAAGCTATATTACCATAGATCCTTAAACGCTATATTGCCCTAGATCCTTTAAAGCTATATTACCTCAGATCCTATAAAGCTATATTACCTTAGATACTATAAAGCTATATTACCCTAGATCCTTTAACGCTATATTACCAAAGATACTCTATCCTTTAAAGCTATATTACCATAGATGTTTTAAAGCTCTATTACCATAGATACTTAAAAGCAATATTACCCTAGATCCTTTAAAGCTATATTACATTAGATCCTATAAAGCTATATTACCCTAGATACTTTAAAGCTATATTACCTTAGATATAATTATAATACTGAATTTATATTCTGTTAAAGTAAGTTTCTATTGCGCTTTCACAAAGGGTTTCAGTTCTGGCAAGGGAAAGCTTCATTGAGTAATAATGTTTTTAATTCTATTTTGAAAATCATTATTGAGCTTGATCGTCTTATGCTCTGGGGTAGCGAATTCCAAAGGAACGCTGCCAAATACCAAATACCAAAATAAAGTAAGTTTCTATAAAGTAAGTAATCTGAAATATAGTCATGACACCTGTGAATACTAATACAGTGCCAAATTACAGTTGGTACGTAGATAAGATTATAAATAATTTTAAAACAAAATATAATTTGGAATATTATCGCAAAATGGCTGCCTTTCAAATAATGGCGTCCCACACTATGAAGACCTACTCAGAAAAAATGTCAACATTGTTTTTTTGTCATCCAACATCAAACCTACAAAATAAAACTTGTTCCACCATTTCTATCTGAAAAGCCGACGGATTTAAATTAAGCATCATGCTATACTGGTAGATTTTAAAATAATGACTGGATCATACATTGATGGATTCCCTGACCAGTTGTTAGGTAAATTTAAATCTTCATTGAATATAATCCGGATAGAACACCGAATACACGGAAAGAGGAACATTGGGTATTTTCCCGACAGAATCTCTAATGCCGAATTCCAATGACACGTGACATACCGGTTGGAATTAGGTCAATAAACCCGTTCTAAATAGCATTTACCATTATTTTTTATTTTATACACATGCTGACATAGGCTTAATTTTTAAAATATTATTGATGGCTATATCATAGTTGTACAGAATTTTATTTTATAGCAATTTCAGTTATGGTTGTCACGTGATCATTGTTCCGTTTGTCTATCATCGACGACATTCTGAACATCTGAGACACGCTACCTGCGGAGAAGTATCTCAGACACAGTCAATAGCCATCTTGTCCATATCACGTGATCTACACATCACAGGTCATGACATTGACGTCAATGGGTCATGAGGTCAACAACACCTTACATTGTATACAATAGGTTTATCTTCAGCATTGTGTCCTTTGCACCCATTAAGACTATATAATTCGTACAGTCCTAACATTGTTCTCTCTTCTTCCAATGATTTTTCACAAAAATAACATTAACAACTCATAGAATTGACGTTGTCTTCAATGACACTATTGACAGCGCCTGCAGCCATCTTGGCACTATTTTGTGCGTCGGTCGTGTCTATTTCAGATCTAAACAATCAATTCTGTTGATGTTTTTAGCGTTGGGATTGTCTAATAGTTAATTTATTTCAGTTCTAAAACAAATATTTTAAACTTTAACGCAAATTTAGAAAATAGCCAAATTCTGGCTGGGATTACTGAGCAAAATGGCCATTCACTGTATACGTGCGAAAAAAAAAGCTAGCCACCAATTAATTTTCGTACGTTAGTTACATACGTCATCGACGAATGAGTAAAAATTTTTGCAAGTTACGTGACTAGTTACAGGGTGGACAAAGACTACAAATTGTGCTTAGAAGAAATGTCATGGTGCCGTATCAGCTTATTTTGGCTAAGGCATTTTCTGGATATTACTTTTGACACTATTTAAGTGTTTACCAAAAATTCCATCTGATTGTTTTATTTTCATAAATGTTGTTGTATTTTGTTTTTTTAAATTAACACAATAAACACAATTTTGTTTTTTAAACAGTATTATAAATTAATATTCGAAGGATTTGTGCAGATTCCATATATGAGAATAATCTTAGATTCTCGCAAAAAATATCGAATTTCTAGCCCGGAGAGATAATAGAGAGGTTTAGATACGTTTTGAGAATAAAAACGAGAATTCTGTGAAGTCAACAGACCTAACCATTCCCATCATGAATTCCCATAATCCTATTATGTCAACAAGAGTCGATAATCAAGGTCCTTTGAAGGTAATTTGCACAAGAAAGATGTAGCTGACAGAAGTTGAACAAATGAAATAAAATGAAATAGAGTTTAACGTCCTACTGTTCTGCTCCGAACTGGGCTAATGAAGACAGGCATAAACCAGGCAGTGTGTTATGAGGGAAATTTTGCCCGGACTGCTGCGCTACGGCCTACTCTTGCACGCTAATGTGTACACAGGACCTCATATTTTTGTACCATCCGATCGACTAGACAGCTGTCCTTGTCAGGTATTCCGTCCTGCACCACTGACAAAGGGAAACCATGCTGGAAGATTCGGATCAACATTTTCGGCCATCACTGAGAGCGAACCAAAGACTTCCAGACTAGTGAGCCAGCATCTTACCCACTTAGCCACTGTGGCTCCCTGGAATTTCGACAACAAATTAACATGACTGCGATTCAATAGTACGCACATTCCGGGGAAATGGCATTAGAGAGTTTCAGATGAGTTCCGTGAACGAGGTGATTCCCTTTTTGCATAGATCGTGATATCCTATTCAACAGACTGAAATCAGATTTTGATATTGCTGACTCAGACCTCGAAGGGGGGTTGGATGGCTGAATGGTTAGCGTGCGCGCTGTATCATAAAGTCTGTCATTGAGTCGACTGGCGTGGTTTCGAATCCCCGGTTGTACGTGACAAGGAGTAGGGTGGCCTGTCCATCCTCGTGGGCTTTTCTCCGGGTCCTCCCGTTTCCTCCCACTGCTAAAGACCCCTATGCGCAAGCGAATTATTTAAATAAAAAATTAAAAAACCATATGTTAGTCCCGAAATGACCTAAGTTGTGTCGAGTGGACGTTGATCTCTCTCTCTCTCTCTCTCTCTCTCTCAGCCCTCAACTGATAAAATCATATGTAAAACATAGAGAATAATATATACTCTTCCAAAAAAATAGTCGGGGATATTGAAATGCAAATACCTATGCAGGTTGTGATATGATAAATAGTCATGGACACTTCACATGCTTTGAGAGTATGTTCACAGATGAAGATGTTATCGCCCCAACAGAACCACAGAGCTGCACATGCGACACGCAATAGCGCCATACATGTGGGAGGGGTTCAATGTCAAATTTGACACTTCAAGGAAGGGTTGATGAAAACTGCCGCTTGCTGGTTTATCCTATCCATGTTTGCTATCCTATCAGTTCTTGCATAAGATTTACTGTTTAGAGTATCTTTGCTTTAGTGTGTTACGTATAATTTGATCGGAAGACGTGTTCGTCGACATCAAGGGGAGTGGGTCAGATTGCCGAAATCGTGATTGGACGGTTGATTAGGAGCATGCCATGACGAATTGCTAAATGTCTGAGGATTGGTGGAGCAATTACTCATTATTAAGACAAAAATCAAAAACATCCATTTTCACTTTTGACAGTGTCTCTCATTTCCAGTGAAATGGGGCCATCAGATAATCCGCACATATGACCTGTTTATGTTCATGTGTAGGCAATTAGGCCTGTTATCAACATACACTGGTTACCTGTAATAAAAACAGCAGTACATTTCCGCAGTTTTCTATCGTTTCTGAATATCCTCTACTTTTTTTGAAGAGTATATTATCATAATCTTTTAGAGGCATTTAGTAACTGGATAGAGCAATAAACTGTAACACATATTTATGGAAAAACAGCTACTTATTTATTTGGGCGACGTTTCGAAGAGTATTTTCTCAACGTTATCAAGCTAATACAGTAATGCAAAAATAATGAAGCTAATTTATACAGAAAACTATAACAACAATTCCTGAATATATTATCAATTGAACGAAACATCTAACGAACTGAAATACAGAGCCCCATAGTACTGGTAGTAAATGATTTGGGAGCCACGGTGGCTAAACATCACATTTACCTGTATGAATTTTGATGTGTACCTGTAGACTAGTACAGGTAGTAAATGATTTACTACAAACATGATTTCTCCCCAGTATGTGTTCTCATGTGTCTAGAAAAGTTATGAACTCGAAAACTCATGAACTCTAGAAAACTCATGAACTCTAGAAAAGTCATGAACTCGAAAACTCATGAACTCTAGAAAACTCATGAACTCTAGAAAACTCATGAACTCTAGAAAATGATTTACTACCAACGCGAAAACTCATGAACTCTAGAAAACTCATGAACTCTAGAAAACTCATGAACTCTAGAAAACTCATGAACTCTAGAAAATGATTTACTACAAACATCACAATTATATCGTCATTCTACAGTATGAGTTTTGACATGTGTCTGAAGATTCCCTTTCTGAAAAAATGATTTACTACAAACATTACATTTATAAGTTTTTTCACCTGTATGAATTCTCCTGTGTGTCTTTAGATGACTATTTTTAGTAAATGATTTAAAACAAACATCACATTTATAATGTTTGTCACCAGCATGACTTCTTATGTGTGACTGTAGACTACTACTTGTGGTATATGATTTATCACAAACATCACATTTATATGGTTTCTGACCGCTATGAGTTCTAATGTGTTGATGTAAATTACTATTAAATGTGAATGACTTACTACAAAAATCACATTTATAAAATTTTTCTCCACTATGAATTCTCATGTGTCCTCGTAAGTCATTACCTCTAGAAAATGATTTACCACAAACATCACACTTAAAAGGTCGTTCACCCGTATGAATTATCATGTGTCTGTGTTGAGTTCTACTAGAAGTAAATGATTTACCACAAACATCACATTTATAAGGGTTTTCACCAGTATGAATTCTCATGTGTATTTGTAAGTCATGAACTCTAGAAAATGATTTACTACAAACATCACAATTATAAGGTCGTTCACCTGTATGAATTCTCATATGTGTCTTTAGATTACTGTTATGATTAAATGATTTACTACAAACATCACACTTATAAGGTTTTTCGCCTGTATGAATTTTCATGTGTCTCTGAAGATATCTTCTCTGGCTAAACGATTTACCACAAACATCACACTTATAAGGTCGTTCACCTGTTTGCCCTTGACTAACATGTATATCACAGTGTTTCTCTAAATCAGTTTCCAATTTAAATTCTTCATCACATAAATTACACTGATAAACAATGTCAATATCTTCAGTTTTCTCTTCTTTAACATGGCAATATCCATCTACATCATCAGTTTTCTCTTCATTAAAATGAACATCACAATATTCATCTACATCATCAGTTTTCTCTTTTTTAACATGTATTTTAATGTGTTTTTCTAAATCATCATGTTGTTGGAAAATCTCATCACATACAACACATTGATGAAATGTTTTAACATCATTAGTTTCCTATAATATATAAAAGTTATAACATCATTAGTTTCCTGTAATATATAAAAGTTATAACATCATTAGTTTCCTGTAATATATAAAAGTTATAACATCATTAGTTTCCTGTAATATATAAATGTTATATATTACAATTGGAAACAATTGATTGTCAGTCTACTAAATTTTATTCACAATGAATATATCACCGATTACACGAATACTCGTAAATATAATATTGCTTTTCACGTCATCATCACCCCATAATTGTAAATGCCCTGTATATTATATATATTTTAATAGATTATATTAGGCCCTACATCCCTGCCAATTATAGGCAACTTTGTGGCTAACATTCATAAATAAACACACTTTATTTCATAATTCTAATTGATCATATTTCATAACGCGGGTCTAATCCCAATGCTCTGTGGTTATTAATCCATTTTCAAAATCCAGCTTCTCAATAATTTCCCTATTTAATTCACGTTCAGACTGTTCATGTCAATAAAATTCCGGATTAAATTACTTTTTTTGGTTTATTCGACAGATACTAAAATCGAAACATTGTTGATAAGAACAGTTCTGGATGTCTAAACATCGTTTATCATCTTTATAAAAATGTATTTAAAACAAAAAATCACGCATCAAAAGAGGCATCGCAGATTGTGGGTATTATTGGGTCTTGTGTATGCAGACAGTGGCAAAAACTTGTGCAAGTTTTGCACTAAATTTAACCATTTTCACTGTATCTGTGTAGCATACAATAACTCATATGGCAGGGTACCTTTTACAGTAATAGAATTCAAATCGTTCATTGGCTGAGACATGATCGCGATTTACGAAATGCCATCAGAAAATTCCATTCTCCATGGATTTCAAAATATATAGGTAATAACTGAGAGTACAATCGTATGGATACATTGCCCTGTGAATTTCAAACCGAGAGAGAGAAATGGGGTTTAACGTCCACTTGACACAAACTATGTCATTTCGGGACTAACATATGGTTTAATTTTATTTCAATAATTCGCTTGCGCGTAAGGGTCTTTAGCAGTGGGACAGGCGACCCTACTCCTTGTCACGTACAACCAGGGATTCGAAACCATGCCAGTTGACTCAATGACAGGCCTTATGATACAGCACACACATGCTAATTATTCGACCATCCAACCCCACCAAATTTCAAAACAAAGCCGTGAATTTCGGAAATTAATTGTTTTACCGAGACGCACGATTATAAAATCTTGAACAGTTCTTACACACCGTAAATAATATTCGAAGAGAAATAGAAAGACATGGAACTATCTGCCGATAATTAAACCGATGTGCGGTATGATTTGTTGTTGATAATAATTTTTGGTACATGTATGTATAAAAAACAAAATAACAATATATACCTATTCAATGATTCAAAGGCCGAGGCTGTTAATTTTGCCTAGGCAAATGTAAGATACATCGACATTTACGGATTTATCTCAGCTACAGTAGATTGCCGAGGTTAATTGACAAGACTGCTTAAGTTCATCAGGAAATATTAAAGATATTCAAGGATGAGATTCAAGGCCCGTAAAACGAATGTCGTTCTTTTTGTTCTGAACCTGTGTTCAAAAGAAATAATCCCACCCAACTTTCTAACCAAATAATTAATACAAGACGGAAACAAAATAACGGTCTACAGGCGTATTTATGTTTGTAAAGACCCAAACTCATTACTGGGTCTGAGAGCAATAGCTTATTCATACACAAAATTTGAATTGTCGTAAAAGAGCCAAACACCGTTATGATAGACAAGCCTTGGTTTGACCCCCTTATACGAAATGATCTATCCCGATAAGTGACGTAATTAGCTTCCATTTTTGTATTTATCAATGTCGAAGTTCGTGTTCGTGATGAGTTCAATTTTACAAGAGAGAACTTTTTTTTTATTCTCTGGGATATTTAGTTGTACAATGGATTTTATTTAACATGAGGTAATTTCAAACACACAGGTAAGTTTATAACAACAAAAGTTAGTTGGTGATCGTCCCCACACGCCCAGTAAATTCTACCCAACCAGATTTTTTAAAAAAAATTTATTTTCAAAATTTACCGTCTTACGATGTTTAAAACCAATGGTAAAAGTTCAAAAATGAAGCCAGGCAACGAAATTCCTAAGCGCAAGAGTTAATGAAGCGGATATAATTATTGACACGTTTTCCAATACTCTTAAAATGTGTAGGACTGAATGACATTTTAACAAATTGTGACCTGTTAATCGCAGCAATGGCCGAAATTTTCATTTGCACGCGTACAGCACATACAATATTTTGAATACAACACAACCTGGAACTATATGTTAAGATGGGAATACGCCTTGCTGATTCTGAATTATATGGAACAGTCTCTCGAATAAATGTAACAAAAGATTTTCGGAATGGCCGTGGGGGGGGGGGGGAGGAGAGGGGGCATGAATGACCAAATCGACCGATTATTAGAGATCGTAAGTCGTTATGCAAAATGTTTTTTGGGGGTTTTTTCTTTGTTTTTTTTACGGGCTCTTCTGGTCTTTCTATTCGCAAAATACAATATTATGAAAGTTGAATGTCTAAAAAGAATATCAGTCCAAAGACATGATATGAACTGAAAATTTTGCAACATTTGATATCATGCATCATTAAACCAGTCGGCATGGCAACATCTATAGGCCTAAGTGTTCAGTTATAATTCTCTTTATATTATCTGATATTGAATCCAAGTCGGAATATCTAAAGTTTAAATAATTAATCTGAACAATTCAAATGACGATCATGCAGATGAGTTGTGTTTTGACATGAAATAAAAGGTTAATATTCCTGAAGTATATTGCTTATTCTGTATATTCATTAAAAAATAAAAATAAAAACCTCCCTCCCTCCCACATTTTTTAGGTGGCTTTAAGAGCTAAATCGCTAATATTTGGGACCTAGAAATTGACCCAAATGGCCTTAAAGGCTCAATACCACTCTTGTTGTAACTGAATAATATGTCCCAATCTTTATTCTGGTCAACAAATTGTACTTTTTTACAATATTCCAATTAATTGATGATATTCAATTTAAAAAAATGGAAAAATTCAACTAAATGATTTGAAAAGCCTGACGTAAAGCTTTTCAAATGTGACTTGGATTTAAAAAATATTTTTGAACCCTCTAGACAAGTAAAATAGGATTTAATGGATAATTTACACAACGGGTACTTAGAATAAGGCTATTTTTTATTTTCGGGAGCTGTCAAGCCAGCAAGAGTATTATTGTCCCTTTAAAGGGGTTAAATCGCTAATATTTGGAACCTAGAAATTGACCCAAATGAGTCGCAACGCATATAATAATGTAAACTGATTGTATATAAACTGATTTACATTCAATTGTTTCCGTTTTGACTCTAATTTCAAATCAGTTATGTTCAGCGAAATACGGCATGTGTCTCAACCCTATAGCAATTTCTAGCGTCTGGTTATTCCAGTCTATTGTGCATGCCGTGTGACAGGAGTTGTGGAATATGTCTAGCCTCGTTCTTTCTGGTCATTTGTTGCAAATGACCCTAAAACGCACTATGGTACACGATTCGTGTACCAATGGTAAAATGTTTATTTTGTCTTAAAGTAGCTAAGTCTCTAACTCATACAAAGTCTTACACGTTGAAAACACGAATTATTTGTCAGTTCAAATCAACATTGATGCTGTAATCTTACCGGGAAAAGGTAGGCTTCTGATATCCAATATTTAAGACAAAATAAACATTTTACCATTGGTACACGAATCGTGTACCATAGTGCGTTTCATCATCATTTGAAACAAGTGACCAGAAAGAGCGACGCTAGACATATTTCACAACTCATGTCATACAGCATGCACAATAGACTGGAATAACCAGACGCTAGAAATTTCTATTCGGTTGAGACTTATGCCGTATTTCGCTGGATCTAACTGTTTTGAAATGAGAGTCAAAACGGAAACAATTGAATGTAAATCAGTTCGTATACAATCAGATTACATTATTATAGGCGTTGCGACCCATTTGGGTACATTTCTAGGTCCCAAATATTAGCGATTTAGCTCCTTTAAATATTGAATATCAGAAGCCTGCCTTTTCCTGGTAAGATCACAACATCAATGTTGATTTGAATTGACAAATAATTCGTATTTACAACGTGTAAGATATTGAGTTAGAGACTTAGCTACTTTAAGTTGTTTGTTCATAATCGAAGAAATCCATTTAAAATAGGGGTTTCAGGTCAAAGTTTCAAATGACAGAACAAATTTTTTTAAAAATATTTTGTGAAAATATACATAAAATGCTACCCAGATTTTTTTATTTCATCAAAATATTCTTATTAGATCCAAAGTTATGGAATTTTAAAATTCGAGATCGACGTCAATAATATAACCAAAATGCTCTATACCAGTCAATGCGTGGCATGGCACCAAAATAAGTGCTTTTCAGTCATATTTGAGTGAAGTCATAAGCGGTATTTTCCCTTCAGAATCGTTAGTATCAATTTTCAAACCGAAACCCGCACGTTATTGTCAGCTAAGATTTATTAAAATCGTAATAATTTGAATGATAATATGTCATATATTTATAATCTGGATGATACCTCAAGAAAGTTTTTTTATATTTAGTCGAAATTTGGCAATTTTCAGTCATCAAAACAGATAAATCCCATTTTCTACGGGTCTCATTGTCCGATCACGTGGTATCAACAAGCATAATAACCACAAAAATGTAGCAACCACAAAAATGTTATCTATTGTTTGATTGGCTCTATATCAAAATCCCCCCGTAACTAAGGTGCGGATTCACCAATGAAGTGAGTCGTAGCAATGGAAAATCTCAGGCCGTGTGACGTCAGAGCGGTATTTTCCCGCGAGCGTCTCATGTAAACAAACGGTAATTTCGCTTACATTTCGATAATTTTTTAGCCTGAATCTTTGCAGATATGGAGATTGATATTAAACTATTGCAATACAATTGCTAGTAATGCATTTACATAAAATAGTAATTCAGAATTGTAGATTGAAGTGGGCTATATTTCAGACGCTGGCTGTCCCGATTTCACGCTAAAGTCACGTGACCTGAAACCCCTATTTAAAATTTACGACGGTTCAGACAGTAGTAACCTGGGTCATACGGTTCATTTACCCGGCATGTGACTTGAATAGTAACTGTAATACTCGCCATTATTTTATTTATAAATTTCTGCTACAGTAAATGATCGGTTGTCTTGTTAGCTGTCCTTCTGTGAGATTCAAACTCTGCTTCAACAAATAACCGAATGTAACAAAGAGAAAAACTTGTTCTCCTTCCTTCCCAAGTTCACTTCCGGTAGAGTACGGGTTGTATAACGAATAAAGTCACGGATCTATACAACGCGAACAACTCACAAACGATCCACGCAAGGCGTAATTTAATTATTTTCATTGACGTCAGAAATATGTGACGTCATTGATTAAACACGTCATAAAAATATTTCTATGAGTCGCGTAATCTCGCTTGGGCGAGATTTGGTAAACTGGCATGCGCATTGCTATTTTTTATTTTTGTCCAGTGTATCCGGTTCCGGCTGAATTTTTTTTTAATCAACAGTCTGTGGGTGACATTTTCAATTACGCTCCTGTGTTACCGGAAAAGAGCTTCGCTCTATATTGCCCCAGATCATTTAAAGCTATATTACCCTAGATCCTTTAAAGCCATATTACCATAGCCACTTTAAAGTTATATTACCTTGATTATATTCTGTAGATCTTTTAATGCTATATTACCTAAGATCATAAAGCTGTATTACTTTAGATTTTTTAAAGCTGTATTACCTTAGATCCTTTAAAGCTACATTAACCTATACTTTAAAGCTTAGATCATTTAAAGTCATATTACCTTAGATCCTTTAATAATAATACAAATAATCTCTTTGTCATTTCAAGATTGGTTCCATGTTGATGGAGCCTTGGCTGGTTTTGGCTGGTCTATGTGGAGTTGTTAAGTCATAAAGGTATTGAGGTGCAGTTCTGTTGATGGCCTTATAGGTTGTCAGTAGGGGCTTCTTAGCAAGTATTTCATTTACAGCCGCGTCCCCACTACCATCAACCAGGTTGTGGCCAGGCCGGAACGAAGCTCTTGGCCACATGCTTGCTAGGCTGTTACAACCTTTATATATACTGAACATCGTCCATCAGCTCCAACTTAGTGTCCAAAGAGGAAACATAAAAAAAAACCTAAAAATTATTCTTGATTGTTTGATTTTTGATTGTTCTCTGCTTTGAAATGAAATGAAATGAAATGAAATGAAATGGGGTTTAACGTCCTACTGTTTTGCTCCGAACTGGGCTAATGAAGACGGGCATACGCCATACAGTGTGCTATGAGGGAAATTTTGCCCGGACAGCGGCACTACAGCCTACTCTTATATCGAATTCCAACTGTCAAGGGATCTTTTACGTGCACGCCAATGTGTACACGGGACCTCGATTTTTCTCTCTGCTTTGAAAGTGAAAGTTAATGGGGATGTCATAGACGTGGCGAGCGAGCGTCTTACGACTGGTAGGCACGTCATGGGAGTGTTGTGAGAATATCCCGATCTGACTGCTAACGGCAAGATGGGAACGCGTTGCGCATAGCTAGAGCTTGGCCATGAGGGTAGTATGATCTTGACTGGTGTAGCAAGCACTTGGTTGGCCGTGGCAGAAGCATGATAGGTGCGTGTCAATTTCTTGCCACGTTTATTGGGGCAAGCCCAACGCCGTTACGCCCTCTTTGTCTTCAATCGATATCAGCTCAGTGGTCATCTCGGATGAGGAATTTTCATTGTTGGATAATATACCAAATGGGTACGACACGGTACCGGCTTTCAGGGATGTGCTACAAGCTAATAGCCTACGTAGCAGAAATGGACTTAGAAACGAAATGAAATGAAATGGGGTTTAACGTCCTACTGTGCTGCTCCGAACTAAGCTAATGAAGCTGGGCATACGTCGTACAGTCTACTATGAGGGAAATTTTGCCTGGACAGCGGCACTACAGCCTACCCTATATCGAATTCCAACTGTCGAGGGATCTTTTATGTGCATGCCAATGTGCACATGGGACCTTGTTTTTTCATCCCATCCAAACGACTAGACAGCTGTCCTTGTCTGGCCCTCCATCCTGCACCACCGACCAGGGGAAACCACGTCGGAAAATCCTGATGAACATTTTCGGTCATCACTGGGAACGAACCGACGACTTCCAGGCTGGCGAGCCAGCGTCAAACCCATTTAGCCACTGTGGCAACAACAACAAATTACATGTAAAACGACTGCGATTCAATAGTAAGCTCATTCAGAAGAAATGGCATTAGAGAGGTTAAGATGAGTTCTGTGAACGAGGTGATTCCCTTTTTGCATGGTACTATTGCTATTTTGATATTGCTGTCTGAGCCCTCAAAATGATCAGATCATATCTAAAACATTGAGAACAATATTATCATAATCTTTGAGAGGCATTTAGTAACTGGATAGTGCAATAAAACTATAACACATACTTATGGAAAAACAGCTACTTATTTATTTGGGCAACGTTTCGAAGAGTATTCTCTCAACGTTATCAAGCTAATACAGTAATACAAAAATTATGAGGCTAATTTATACAGAAAACTATAACAACAATTCCTGAATATATTATCAATGGAATGAACTGTCTAAAATTACCAAACTGAAATCCGGGAAATGAAATGAAATGGGATTTAACGTCCTACTGTTCTGCTCCTAAACTGGGCTAATGAAGACAGGCATATGTCATACAGTGTGCTACGAGGGAAATTTGGCCTGGGCAGCGGCGCTACGGCCTACTCTTATATCGAATTCCAACTGTCAAGGGATCTTTTACATGCACTTCAATGTGTACAAGGGACCTCGGTTTTTCGTCCCATCTGAACGACTAGACAGCTGTCCTTGTCAGACCCTCCAACCTGCATCACTGACAAGGGGAAATCACGCCGGAAAATCTGGATGAACTTTCTCAGCAATGTAGGGATCAAACACCCGACCTCCAGGCTAACGAGCCAGCGTGTTACCCACATAGCCATGTGATCCCCCTGAAATACGGAGCCCTATACTAAACGGTAGTAAATGATTTGGGAGCCACGCTGGCTAAACATCACATTTATTAGGTCTTTCTAATAAAAGTTATCACAAACATCACAGGTATAAGGTTTTTTACCTGTATGAAGTTTGATGTGTACCTGTAGACTAGTACAGGTAGTAAAAGATTTACTACAAACATGATTTCTCGCCAATATGTGTTCTCATGTGTCTAGAAAAGTTATGAACTCTAGAAAATGATTTACTACAAACATCACAATTATATCGTCTTTCTACAGTATGAGTTTTGACATGTTTCTGAAGATTCCCTTTCTGAAAAAATGATTTACTACAAACATCACATTTATGAGTTTTTTCACCTGTATGCGTTCTCATGTGTTCATGTAGATGACCAGTCTGAGAAAATGATTTACTACAAACATTACATTTATAGGGTTTTTTACCAGTGTGAATTCTCATGTGTTTCTGTTGATTACCACTACTGGTAAATGATTTACCACAAACATCACAATTATAAGGTCTCTCGCCGGTATGAGTTCTAATGTGTTTTTGTAAGTCATGAATTCTAGGAAATGATTTACTACAAACACCACAATTATAAGGTTTTTCACCAGTATGAATTCTCAAATGGGTCTGCAGATGACCTTTCTGATTAAATGATTTACTACAAACATCACAATTATAAGGTTTTTCACCTGTGTGAATTCTGGTGTGTTCCTGTAAATATCTTTTCTGGCTAAACGATTTACTACAATAATCACATTTATAAGGTTTGTCAATAGTATGAGTTTTCTTGTGAATCTTTAGATCACTGTTTAAAGTGAAGGATTTACCACAAACATCACATTTATTAGGTCCTTTCTCTTCTTTAACATGTATATCACAGTGTTTTCCTAAATCAGTTTCTAATTTAAATTCTTCATCACATAAATTACACTGATAAACAGTTTCAATATCATCAGTTTTCTCTTCTTTAACATGACAATATTCATCTACATCATCAGTTTTCTCTTCTTTAACATGACAATATTCATCTACATCATCAGTTTCCTCTTCTTTAACATGTATTTTATTGTGTTTTCTTAAATCATCATGTTGTTGAAAAATCTCATCACACACAACACACTGATGGAAAGTTTTAACATCATCAGTTTTCTCATCTTTAACATGACAATATTCATCTACATCATCAGTATTCTTTTCTTTAACATGACAATATTCATCTACAACTTCAATTTTCTCTTTTTTAACATGTACATTGTAGTGGCTTTTTAAATCATCAAGTTGTTGAAACATTTCGTCACATATTGTACATTGATGAAAAGTTATATCATCATTAGTTTCCTGCAATATATAAATGTTATAACACCATTAATTTCATGTAAAATATAAAAGTTATAACATCATTAGTGAGAGAGAGAGAGAGAAATGGGGTTTAACGTCCACTCGACACAAACTAGGTCATTTCGGGACTTACATATGGTTTAATTTTATTTACATAATTTGCTTGCGCGTAGGGGTCTTTAGCAGTGGGAGGAAAGCGGAGGACCCAGAGAAAACCCACGAGGTTGGACAGGCGACCCTACTCCTTGCCACGTACAACTGGGGATTCGAAACCACGCCAGTCGACTCAATGACAGACTTTATGATACAGCGCGCGCACGCTAACCATTCAGCCATCCAACCCCTCAACATCATTAGTATCCTGTAACATCATTAGTTGCCTGTAATATAATCTTCACATGTAAATGTTATTAGTTATGATTTCCACAAACGTTAGAGATCCATGGTAATCTATGTATAGGATATTTACTTGACTCGTAAGTTGGCTGAAAAGTACATCAAATGTCTAAAACCAATTGAGTGTGCTTACTCTTGGTTAAAAAAACAATTCTGATAAGTTTCTCTTTAATTTTATAATCATTTTTTTTTTTACAAAACGCTGCAAGATACGTCCACATTCCAGCTTTGATTGATATGGTACTTTTTAAAATGAAGAGAATGAAATATGAAATGGCTGTAATATGATCAGAGGCAAAGAAGGCTAGGCGTTGGGGCAAGCATCAAAATAAATAGTTGCTGTCTTCATGGTATAAGGAATAAATATGCAAAGTTCCAAGATGATCCATTCAGAATTGCAGCCTGTATACGAAAAATACAAAAAAATGGCGAGACTCTACCTGTGGGGGTTGGATATGGAAACAATATAAATAGGTACCATCCTGTTATTGAAATGACAATATCAATAATTGCCGCCCTTTGGGTATAAGGAATAAGTATACAAAGTTTGAAGAAAATCAAGTAAGAATTGCACCCTGTAGGCGACCCACAGACACACACACAGAGGGGCGACGGCATAATACGTCCACATTATGAATGTGGACTATAAAAATATCCATTAGTATTCTTTTAGTTATTTTGATCACATTTTAAATTTCAACATACAAAAGAAATAATAAACATATTTATTTTTTTAAATCCGTTTAACCCTAGAGTCAATTAAGAAGTTAGCCTCCTAATCCTAGTGCTCATTAACTCAGCAGGCTCCACTTCCTAAGCTAATTAGTGGATTATTGTTAATCTTTATACCCTCGTCACAATTGCAAATAACTAAAAAAAACTATTCTTTATACAAAACAATACTTTTTTATAAAAATGTAGAGGATATGTTGCACTATAGAATGATATGAAATTTAATCAGGTCAAATTTGATTTACAGCAATAAAAATCACATTTAATTGTCTGTTGAGCTTAATTAAAAAAAAAAAAAAAAAAAAAAAAAAAAAAAAGGCATTTTATACAAGAAATTAGCAGGTTAGAATAGCATAAAAGAAGAAGAATATAAAAAAATATATCAATAACAGTACTTAAAAAACCCAAAAAAACATTTAGACTTGAAAATTTTTTAAATAGGGAATTTACTTCGCACTAGTTATGTGTCGGGTCGTCAGCTGTCGAAATAAAAGGCACAACCCTTTTGTCTTCCCATTCTCTTGCTGTCATCTGACCATCTTGGACAATTACACTTCCTCCTTGTTTTTTTACTGTTTTTTTGGTGAGCTCTGCTGGCCAGTTTTTCCTGTTCATACGGCATGTGCCCCGTGCTTTTATTCAATCTTCTAACAGTTTCTTGAAAAGGGCTGGACTTGTATAAAAATTGTCAGTATTGACGATCATTCCCCTGTTTTTAATGTTCTGTGTTAAATTTTTTTGTAAGGCCGACTTCTGCTGTTTCCTCTTCTTTACCGGCATAAATTTGAAATTCATTCACGTATCCATTGAATGGATCAGCTCTCATCCAGGGTTTGATGCCATACTTGATGGGTTTTGCGGGCATGTATTGTCTAAAACCTATTCTGCCGCGAAAGGCAATCATTGCCTCATCAATTGAAGTATTTTGATGACAATTATACTCAAGCAATTTTTGGATATCATGTCAATCAATGGTCTAGTATGATGTAACTGGTCATGGTCAGGGTGGCCTTTTTCGGGATTGGTTACATTGTCAATGACATGCAAATATTGTGTGATCTGTGATCTTTATGAAACCGGGGCATCACATGGCTAAGTGGGTAAGACGCTGGCTCGCTAGCCTGGAGGTCGGGTGTTCGATCCCTGCATTGGCCGAGAAAGTTCATCCAGATTTTCCGCGTGATTTCCCCTTGTCAGTGATGCAGGACGGAGGACCTGACAAGGACAGTGGTCTAGTCGTTCGGATGGGATGAAAAACCGAGGTCCCGTGTACATATTGGCGTGCATGTAAAAGATCCCTTGGCAGTTGGAATTCGATATAAGAGTAGGCCGTAGTGCCGTTGACCGGGCAAAATTTTCCTCATAGCATATTGTATGGCGTATGCCCGTCTTCATTAGCCCAGTCGGAGCAGAACAGTAGAACGTTAAACCCCATTTCATTTCATTTCATTTGTTATTGAAACGATCTCTGACCATGTATTTGGAAATTTCATACTGCCCCCAAAAATGAATCTTTTGACCAGTACTCTTATTTCATCCACAGACACAGGGTACCATTTTAAATCTTAGACTGGAAGCTGATTCCCAAAGGTGATTGCATGCTTTTATAAATAGACACATGGAGCCCGTGCTCTCGATCTGTCATCACGTTGATAAATCACATAATAAAAATTGGATCCACTCGACCCGTAGTTTATTAGTACCGGGAGAAAAATAATAAAGCTATTTCATACAATCGTAAACAATAGAAATATTAACAAGTGTTTAAATTTAGCTGTTCTTGTAAAGCCTCTATTTTCCTAATTAAGTCAAAGGTCAATGGACAATATCACCGCCGGCGCATGTCCCTATTTGCATTAGTGTTATTTGATATGTGAATTATCATTTGTTATATATGTGGAAATTAAATTTTTCTTGGATAGTCCTTTTTACAACCCAGGTAAGAAACAATACATTTATGCATTAAAACGCCCACACGTGCAGTAAATATAGAAATGACGAAACCAATAGTTTTTCATCAATTGCTTGATTTTATATTTGTAAACTTGCTTTTCGAAACAGATTCGTTAGTCTGATATCAATGGAGGCTGGTCCGGTTATCGGTAAATAACGTGCATTTATACTTCAGTGGTACGCACGATAATATATAAACAAATTAAACCCACAAAAAAGACAAATATTTAAATAATTGCAGCCCGACTTTGGTACGAAGTATATAAAACACGTAGTATTCACCAAGAAATGAAATAAGTATAAGAACGAACAAATGTAACTACAGCACGTATAAATCCATTTATAAAGACCTACACTTAACAAAGACCAATCTGCCGTAAAACATGCGGTTGAACAAGAAATCGCACGGTAAATTGGATTTAACACCTACGCGTCAGATAAAGCCTGTTGGTCCTTGATATAACACCTTTGGTGCAGTTATAACACGCTTTCGAGAAAACTCACCAAACAAAGAATACACACCGTGTCAGTCGTTTTTAACCCGTTCGTTAATTAACACACCGGTACAGAAAACGCACCGTCGCCGAGATTTTCACCCCTAGCGATAATTATATCACCACTCAGTCAATTTCTCACCCCTGTTAATTAACACATCGTACCTACAGATTTTAGCCTCTTCGTATTAGATTTGTTGCAATAATTAGAATTTTACCGATATTCATAGAAATTTACTAAAAAGCGAGAAAAGTATACTGTAAACGTACAAATTTCACCTTTACTACTTCTAAGTGTAATGTATCACTGTTAACCAGTATAAATAAGGTGTCACAAACTAGCCATTTTAATTGACAAGTAATTTAAATCTTTAATATTAGAGGCGTTAAGTGTTGACAGATTATAAAAATAGTTTCTAATGTAGCCCCAACAATTAATGAAATATTTTAATTTCCCGAGTCTCTTTGAAAAACAGAGTTCTTCAAGAAGCTTTAGAAATTCAAAAACATAAGCCAAAATTAAACAGAGACTCAGGACATTATCTTCCAAATCTTTGGGTGGATTTACTAGACAATTAGTGAACACTGAATGGTTTTCTTTCTTTTTAAGTGTTAATTGTTATTAATTAAGTGTAGATTGTGGTTTCTAATCATAGTAGGGTTTCCAATCATTGTTTATTTAGTTATTGTACCATATTTTCTTATTAATCATTTAGCTTGACAATGAATCCGTAGGTTTCAATTCATGGTCTTTCTTAACTGAATAATTTTTTCAACGATACGGCCATATTACGTATCGATATAAATATCGCTCAAACGTATCGATACATATCGGTGTATCAATATATCGACACAGCCCTAACAACGATACCTGTATGTGTATTGAAACGTAGCTTGTTAATAAATTCAGAAGTAGTATATCCATATAAGTGGGTATAGTGTCCGCTGAATTTATTTTCACAAATGATCTTTGATTAATTCCCGTTTCTTGCCCCACGTTGAGGCACAGATATCCCGCTATTTTGAATGACAGTTCTCGTGGGACAGCGTCATTTCTCGCGAAATAACGCTCTCGCACATGTTGTCTTATTGCACAGCACGCGATGTTTCCTAGTAAATACGGTATACATTGAAGCCAATGAAGGGTTCATCAAAATGAAAATTGATAAACATCAATAAAAAAAATATGACAACAACCAAAGATTTTTTTTCGTGTATGGGTCGAAAATAAAATAATATTAAATTCTCAAGTTACATATTTATTTTTTTTATCGGGAGGTTCACGCTTCAGTCGGCAGGTCCGTAAAACGAAAAATCAAAAAAGTGTCGCCCAATTAGGGGCGGATGATGTATATTTAACATACGTACAAGGACATACGTACAAGAACAAACATGTACAGTCATTCAATTTACGTTGATGTAACAGGTGCGTTAACCAATGTGCAAATGGTATGAACATAGAAACCGAGACAATATATGTGGGTTTTACATACAAGCATTGGACAGACTAACAATGGACTAACAAACAAGGTGAAGTCCTGCCGAGTGTTGCACACAGATCATGTGCAGCTTGTAAAGGATATATTGAATTAATTACATGTTTAATTACAACACAGACAATCGTGACTTAAGAACAGTGCATCCAGAGGTAAAAGGTCAATATCAAGGATGTCATTAGAAACCGGCAACCGGCAAATTTCGTCATTCACATTAGAAAAATTTCCGGCTACTTTTCAGCTAAAAAAAGATCAGCAATTTCATTTTAATAAAATAATTTTATAATATTAATTCAAACTAATTTAATTCCTAAACGCCAAGCACACAGACGTATCAACTAACCAGTGTTTTCTGTGAGACTCATGGATTCGCGACCTTTCTCCACGGAAGGATATTTCTCACGGTAAATGTTCATAATTATGCCAATGCCAGTTTTACTTTCAAAAAGGGAGATAACCCCCTTACTTCAATTGTATAAATCCATCTCATGATTGGCTGAATTTGACAGGAAACTTGTTATTCCAGTAGTATGCTAGTGCTGTGATTATTATTGCTTGGGGTAAATAAAGTATATAGTAATGGTTAGAATCCTTTAGTGGCATTTAGCAATTGGAAACATAACAAAACTATACAGTTATATGGGACAACAATCACTGGTTTATTATACACAAGCACGACGTTTCGATAAGTATTCTCTTATCGTTATCAAGCACAATAACATTTAGTAAACTTGAGGGTGTATAATAATAATTCTTATCTACGGCTGCAATTGATACACTATTCGACACTTTCCACATAGAAAATTAGGTTCAGTTACAAAATTTTCAACACATATCATCATAGTTTGCATGGAAATAAGTGATTATGTTACAAATAGTGATGAGTGGGCCACAGGAATACTAATCTTATCATACCGAACAGTTTTTCTGTATTTTCGAGTGATATAATATCACGTGATGATTCTGGTACGGCCACCATTTTAACTGTACAAAAATTTCGCATTGCAGTTGGGTTAAATCAAATCATATAATTATGCGGTAAGGTTTCACCTTTATTTCAATGGGAATCGGTTTATTATATGTTAAGCTATGTGCAGAACAGTTTGGGGTCAGTGTATTTGGAAATTAAGGGAGTTATAGGCCAGTAATGAGTAATTTTTTTGTAGTCAAAGGACTACAAAACTTGGGCAAAGAAAGCCCTTAGGACGGTCCACTACTGTGGCTGGAGTAAGACGTAAGACATCAGTAGTGAAACCATTTCTAAACGAGACCTAAATATAAATCAGCCCATACCTGACGGTTCGATTACACGCCATATGGCTTGAATAGTAACAGTAATACTCACCATTATTTTGTTTGTAAAGTTATGCTACAGTAAATGATCCGTTGTCTTCTAAGTTGTTCTTTGATGAGGTTCAAAACCTGTTTTAATAGGCCTATACCGGAAAATTACAAAGGGAAAACAAGTCTTTCTTCTTTCCCAAGTTCATTTCCGGTCGAGTACGATAGGGGTTGTATAACGAATATAGTAGTGGATCTATCCAACGCGAACAACCATTACAACAATCTGTTTCACAGAGAATTACGAAGGTCTTCTAATACAATGTATCTCTGTAAAAGATGGCTGCCTTCACCACGTGACGTCACATCACGCGACGTCAATCATTGGCTCAATGGCGCGTGCATTGTTTACATAAGACATTACTGAATCGGGCAGAATGCTGCCTTTTACACATTTTAATACCCATTTACACTAAATAGGAAATAATTTTTACCTACAACTACGTAAAACTTCTTTATTTATTTTTCTAATATATATAAAAAATGTTTTGGAAAAACGTTAATATTTTTGGCTCATTAAGTCGCATCGATGTCATCCTTATCAGTTTTTGTAGTGGCCTAGCGAATATTCACCGCTAATCAGTGTGCCATTACTGCTTTAAAGCTGGATTGTTTATTTCCTCTAAAGCTATATTACCCTAATACTTTAAAGTTATATTACCTTAATACTTTAAAGTTATATTACCTTACATACTTTAAAGTTATATTACCTTACATCCTTTAACATCGGTAATTTCTTTAGCTATAATACCTTAGATACTTTAATTTTAAAGCTATATTACCTTAGATCCTTTAATTTTAAAGCTATATTACCTTAGATACTTTAAAGCTATATCACCTTAGATCCTATAAAGCTATATAGCCTAAGACCCTTTAAAGCTATATTCTTAGATCCTTTAAAGCTATATTACCTTAGATCATTTAAAGATATATTACCATATATATTTTAAAGCTATATTACCTTAGATGATTTAAAGCTATATTACCTTAGATATTTTAAAGCCATATTACCTTAGATCCTATAAAGCTATATTACCGTATATATTTTAAAGCTATATTACCCTAGATCCTATAAGGCTATATCACCTTAGACCCTTTAAAGCTATATCACCCTCGATCCTTTAAAGCTATATCACCTTTGATCCTTTAAAGCTATATTACCCTAGATCCTTTAAAGCTATATTACCATAGATCCTATAAAGCTACATCACCTTAGTTTCTATAAAGCTATATCACCTTCGATCCTTTAAAGCTATATTACCCTAGATACTTTGTTTTGATGTTCGATTGGGCATACTCCTGGTCGGACAGTTTAGGACTTTTGGAAAATAGCATTGGACATGTCCAGAATATACGTGCAAAATCCAATCACTGCTTTAAAGCTACCATAGATCCTTTAAAGCTATATTAACTCAGATCCCTTAAAGCTATATTATCATCGATCCTATAAAGCTACATCACCTTAGATCCTTTAAAGCTATATTATCTTAGATCCTTTAAAGCTATATTACCAAAGATCCTTTAAATCTATATTAACTCAGATCCCTTAAAGCTATATTACCATCAATCCTATAAATCTACATCACCTTAGATCCTTTAAAGCTATATTATCTTAGATCCTTTAAAGCTATATTACCTTAGATCCTTTAAAGCTATATTACCAAAGATCCTTTAAAGCTATATTGCCTTAGATCCTATAAAGCTATATCACTGCTTTAAAGCTACCATAGATCCTTTAAAGCTATATTAACTCAGATCCCGTAAAGCTATATTACCATCGATCCTATAAAGCTACATCTTAGATCCTTTAAAGCTATATTATCTTAGATCCTTTAAAGCTATATTACCTTAGATCCTTTAAAGCTATATTACCAAAGATCCTTTAAAGCTATATTACTTTAGATCCTATAAAGCTATATCACTTCATATTCCTGAAGCAATGGCCAGAGAAATCCCTATCTGGCCATTGCTGGATTGGCTTCTAATACTTGAACTTTTGAGGGAGTGTGTCTATTCTTCCTGTTCAATCAAATCTCTCCGAAGTACAGCAACATGACAGCCCTTCGTTTAATCTGGGGTCTTCCCTAAAAATTTGGACAATGATTTAAGCTATTAAGAACGGTGAAAGTATTTTTCGTCTCCAAATAGTATTGTTTACATTGTATCCGTTTTGATAGCCTCATTTGTCACGCAATTAGTTTTTCTGAAATATTCTGCTAGGCACTGGTTAATTGGACCTAATAAAATCGTTAGTCATGACGTAACGTTATGTAAACATATTTGGTCCAATTTGGAGCTCTGTTTAAAGCGTATTGGTTGTTAATCAGACTATTGACCAGTCATAATGTGGAACATAAATTTGCTTCCATTACAGCAGTGTTAACTGGCATTAGCTATTGGTTGTTAATCAGACTATTGACCAGTCATAATGTGGAACATAAATTTGCTTCCATTACAGCAGTGTTAACTGGCATTAGCTCTAATCAAACGAAACACTGGATATGTATCACCTTAGATCCTTTAAAGCTATGTTATCATATAGCTAGTTTGCATTCCTTATAGGTGTATTGCTCATTATATTTTGTGGAATAACATAGTTGAATAATACCTATCTGTTTGAACTCTTTTAGTTATGCTTTATATGGATTATCTCCCCTTTTAGCATTGTTTTATCTGGATTATCTCCCCTTTGAGCATTGTATTATCTCCCCTTTTAGCATTGTTTTATCTGGGTTATCTCTCCTTTTAGCATTGTCATATCTGGATTATCTCCCCCTTTAGCATTGTCTTATCTGGATTATATCCCCTTTTAGCATTGTCTTACATGTATCTGGATTTTCTCCCCTTTTAGCATCGTCTTATCTGGATTATCTTCCCTTTCAGCATTTTCTTATCTCCCTCTTCTATTATTTAGCTCCGTTTTATATAAATAAGGACCTATGCCCTAACTTGGTAATTAATACACGAAAATGGTTACTCATAAAATAATATTTGTCTTCAATTTGCTTACATTTATATTTTCACGCAGTACATAATTGATCACGACTAACTATAAGGTCACTATAGACGAGACTGTACAGCGCAGTGGACGCTTACGACTAGCACCCGGATTCATTCACTTTATCTGATATGTACTTTTGTTTGTGATATCTGTATATTATGTTTTGTGTGTAGATTTGTCCGGTGTAATAGCTTGTCTGTGGTGCTGTCCTCCTGCACTTACTATTTAATGCTATATTTCATAGCGAGTTTAAAGCACGCCAAAATAGACTTTTCTAACCAAACACACAAACAAAATGTAAAAAAAGCGCGCCAAACTCTGAATATAGGCTCATTTCACAGCGACACCATCAGAAGGAGCGTTTGACACCAAAGACTATTGTATCTCTGCCCTGGATGCGTTAAATATTTTGGTGTAATTATCGATATGTCTGCTGATATTTGTAGACTTGGGCGACCGGTAACTACTTTACTTAGATTGTTTCTCAAAACTGGCAACATGAATATTTTAATCTTTGTAGATTTTATTTGTTTAAAATAAATTCATATAATGGAAAAATACATGCATGAACCAAATATAAGATAAGATACATGTAAGATGTTTATTGCATCAAAACGTCCAATAAGGACAGCATGCATACATATACACTTTGAGTCAAATACATTTAATTATATATACTACATAGACAACACATACACGAACACACAAGTAATACATTCATACAAACAGTGGAATACATTCATACAAACAGTGGAGGAAACCCACTAGGTTAGACAGGCAAACCCCACTCATAGCCACGTAGAACCGGGGAATCAAAACCACGCCTATCAGATTCCTCGATCATCGCGAATACCTGGAGGTCGAGTGTTTAATCCCTGCATTGGGCGAAAAAGTTCATTCAGATTTTCCGACGTGGTTTCCCCTTGTCAGTGATGCAGGATGGAGGGCCTGACAAGGACAGCTGTCTAATCGATCGGATGGGACGAAAAACCGAGGTTCCGTGTACACATTTGTGTGCACGTAAAAGATCCCTTGGCAGTTGGAATTCGATATAAGAGTAGGCCATAGTGCCGCTGGGCAAAATTTCTCTCATAGCACACTGTATGGCGTATGCCCGTCTTCATTAGCCCAGGTTAAGAGCAGAACAGTAGGACGTTAAACCACATTTTATTTCATTTCATTTCATGGCGAATACCAAGTCTTGCGCTGTCGAGAAGATGTGAAACCCCATTCCTCTCTCTCTCTTTGTAGATTACTACTCACAGCGACTGATTTAAAGCAAACATTTTTATCCAATATGAGTTCTTGTGCTTCTGTAGAATACGACTCTAATTCAATCATTTCTCACAAAACTCAGTTACAAAGTTTTTCTTCTGCGTGAATTCTCATGTGATTCTGCAGCGTACCACTCTGTCCAAATGATTTACTACAAACATTACATTTATAAGGTTTTTCACCTGAATGAGTTTTCCTGTGCTGTTGTAGAGAACTAGCCTGTCTGAATGATTTACAACAAACATCACACTTATAAGGTTTTTCACCAGTATGAATTCTCATGTGTTCCTGCAAATTACTATTCTGTCCAAATGATTTACTACAAACATCACACTTATAAGGTTTTTCACCTGTATGAATTCTTGTGTGTGACTGTAGAGTATTTCTGGCAGTGAATGATTTATGACAAACATCACACTTATAAGGTTTCTCGCCGGTATGAATTTTCATGTGTTTCCATCGATCATTACTTTGTGTGAATGATTTACTACAAACATCACACTTATATGGTTTTTCACCAGTATGAATTCTCATGTGTATCTGTAGTTCACTACTCTGGATGAATGACTTACTACAAACAACACACTTATATGGTTTTTGACCCGTATGAATTCTCATGTGTGACTGGAGATTACATCTAGTGTGGTAAGATTTACTACAAACATCACATATATAAGGTTTTTCACCAGTATGAATTCTCACATGTTTCTGTAGATTACCAAAATGACTAAATGATTTACTACAAACATCACATTTATAAGGTCTCTCTCCACTATGAACTCTCATGTGTCTCTGTAGACTACTTCTATAGGTAAATGACTTACCACAAACATCACATTTATAAGGTTTTGCTCTGGTATGAGTATGCGTTTCCATGTGACGCTTTAGTTTACGCTCTGTAGAAATTGATTTACTGCAAACATCACATCTAAAACATTTCTTAGAATATGTATAACTTGTTTCAGAACTTGTTTTATTTTGTATTTCTTTATTTTTTTCAGGTTGTCCAGGTTGAAAAACAGATCCACCTTCAACATGTATTTCACAGTGTTTTTCTAAATCAATGTCAGATTTAAATTCTTTATCACATAAATTACACTGATAAACAGTTTTAATATCATCAGTTTTCTCTTCTTTAACATGGCAATATCCATCTACATCATCAGTTTTCTCTTCTTTAACATGACAATATTCATCTACATCATCAATTTTCCCTTCTTTAACATGTATTTTATTGTGTTTTTCTAAATCATCATATTGTTGAAAAATCTCATCACATACAACACATTGATGGAAGGTTTTAACATCATTAGTTTCCTGTAATATATAAAAGTTATAACATCATTAGTATCCTGTAATATATAAAAGTTATAACATCATTAGCTTCCTGTAATATATAAAAGTTATAACATCATTAGTTTCCTGTAATATATAAATGTTTTAACATCATTAGTTTCCTGTAATATATAAAAGTTATAACATCATGAGTTTCCTGTAATATATATCACTAGGGACCGGGTCATTCAGATTTGACGAAAAAAAGAAAGAAACTGAGCTTACAATCTAGAATCTAATACACATATTCAGTTAATGCAGTCTCCCCCGTCCGTCTGTCGGTCCATCATCCACAGTTTCTTGTGAAAGCTCTAACGCCAAAAGTTATCATCTAATTGTTTTAATCCAGAAAGTTCGGGTCTGAAATACGCAAATATCAAAAGGGACTGAGAGTTTTGGAATAGAAAGATATGTTTTATCAAAATTGTGACCCCTAGAGTGTCCATAACCTTTGTATTACATACTTATACACAATTTGCAGACAAAGAGCAGAGATTTTGTCAGACAGTTTCATTTCAATTTTCCCGAAATTCAAACTCAACCATCATTAGGGTGTAACGGAGATATACAATGTACTAAAATGTTTTTTTTTAAAAGGATAAAAACTGTGATCTCTAGACGGATCACAAGCTAAAACGCAATTTTTTGTACAATCAGGGGCCATAATTCAGGACGTTACGATCCGATATGCATGAACATCGAAAGTAACCAAGATCTTTGGGTTATAAACATGCATTCCAAGTTTCGTCAAAATCAGATCACAACTGTGACCTCTACAGTGTTCACAAGCTAAAAACGTGATTTTCTGTACGATCAGGGGCCATAAAGTTATGGTCCGATATATGCCAATATTGAAAGGAACCAAGATCTATATTTCAAGTTTCGTCAAAATCAGATAAAAATTGTGACCGGTTGAGTGTCCACAAACAAATTGTGGACGGACGGACATTGAGACGGACAGGGGCGCAACAATATATGTCCACATGAAAATGTGGGAGTATAAAAAGGGTCATAACTACTCCAGAATAACCCCAATATATCAACTTTCTTGAAATGATCAAAAAAAGAATATTTACAAATTAATTACAAAATTCAAATTCATGTCATATTTTGTGTATGAAATGAGTCAAGTTTGTCTGATAGTTTTACTGGTGCTTGTTTGTAAAGAGCACAGAGACAGAGAGAGATATGGGGTTTAAGTCCACTCGACACAAACTAGGTCATTTCGAACTAACATAAAATTACCTCCCCTCGCGCAATTACCAGTATTAAGTTTAAAAGCAAAGAAACATAAATCAATTCACAATATTTTTTTATTAATCTTGCTACTCTTTTTTTTCTTTGCAACCCATACATAGATAGACTACTATAAATGTAGTAAATGTATCAACACATCCTCTTTGTTTACTTCTGACACGCCCATGTGAATTCGAAAAAAACATTCTGAGTTTTCGTTAAAAACAAACCTACTAAAACATTCTTTAATTTTTACTTCTGCACAATTAATCATCATTCCGGTTTTTAAAATCCTTCGTACATGCGGGAATTTGGAGTATTTAGCAAAACCAAAATGCTTACAAAAACTACGAAAATATTAAAGTCGACCATTCCACAAATTTCAACTGTTGCATTTGGAAATTTCACTGTTCAAAACTGGAGAAATTGGTCACTACTGGATAGGAGGAATACTTATTGGGTTGAAAAATTACCATGTAACTATAAAAATACTGTAAGTTCGAGAAATTAATCTGTATAAAATCCAGCTATGTCAAATATCACATCGCTTGATTTGCCGTTGACAATTGAGATCTTGTCATGTCTCGAGCGAGCGGCAGAGAATTCAACCTGCGGGACTATATGGTCCATGGTTTCAATATAAATCTTAAGTTGATATTTACCGTCGTCCAAACTCAAACAATTGTAATGATCAGGCTTTGTTTTCATTGCATCACGTGGTTATCAAACTTTCTTTCGAAAGCATTGTTGTCGTTTACTGAGTTGAAAATACAAGTTAATAGTCAAATTTGTCAAGAGATAACTTTTTTATACGTTGGGATATGTAGTTGTGCAATGGATTTTATTGGACGGGAGTTGATTTCAAACACACAGGTAAGTTTATAATAACGAAAGTTAAGTAGTTTGTTCATAATCGAAGAAATGTGTTTAAAATTTACGATGGTTCCGACAGTAAGTACAAAACAGCTAAGTTAGAATTAGAAAGAGTCTGCACCCGAATTTCGGTATTTATATGTTTTCAAGGTAAATTTCGGAATTTTGATGGAATTCAATATTAATATTATTGTAAAATATAAGTAAATAGGAAAATCTTGCTGGCGAATTCTGATATCTTCAAAGAGAATTCCGGTGTTTGTAAGTGAATTCCGGTGTTTATAAGTACATTCCGGTGATCAGTGTAAACCTTTATAAGTTTATAAAAGTAGAATTGAAACTTACTTACCATTACTTAGTTAGTCAAATACAAAATGGAACTAAAGACACAACACTCACTAAAAACTGACTAATCGTTCAGAGGACAATTGATCAATAACGCTGAGAGAAAGATTAAAAGACTGTCTTTGTCTTCGAAGATCAATTTCCGGTGTGACGATGTGGTATGGTCCCTGGTGTGTGATCACCTTTAAGCGCATGCGCAGTTGTGGAGTAACGTCACACCGTTATAGACGCGGTGTGCATTGACTACCCGTGATAGGATTATCCTCCAAATATTCTTACGGTCAAATCGATTTCTACACTGTAACAGTCGACAGCTGAATGTAAATAGGATAGACCATTTAAATCTTTTTTGTTAATAATCTTGTAAGTAATAGATAACATCTGTTTGTTCGTAAAATGTGTAATAAATATAAACATGACCAAATTCGAGTTCGGGCCATATCTTCAATTGCAGACGGCCATAACGGGGCTTTTACATGTGACGTACTTCGGGTGTCTATTTTTAGCATGACCTTTTTCTTCACGTGTCTAACCATGGTAAACGCTAAGGAAAACGGTTTTTTTAGTCTTTTTCTTTTAATAGAAAACCTATTCTCGAATGCCACTCTTGTTGTTTAAGATGCTTGTAGCATTCGTAATAAATTACCGAATTTAAATCTGATGTCTAAATTAATTCGTTATCTTTGTTTTTGTTTTATTGACTATATTCTTCGTTGTAGCAGACGATATGCCAAACTCACACACGGTCCAGTTGACCGCTGTACACAAAAGCATAAACAAAGATGCATTGCTGTATGAAGTCGATTTATATGTTTTGTGTTAATTTTAGCCTACTGCAAACAATTAATAGATAACATCTGTTTGGTTGTAAAATGCCACGAAATAGAGCATAAGAGTAAATAATAGAATGGATTAGAGTGGTGACCTGTTGTTCCACGAATTAATTACAATGAATTGCAATCTGTTATAGACAACAACAATCTATGATGGCTTATAGTGGCCATGTTAAATCTCGCCCTTTTCATAACGCACCAACATGTCATCACGACAGTATTGACGCAATCACACAACACTGCTTGTCCTGTTATTTTGATGGAATGAATATCAAGTGATACATATTGTTGTTCAACTGGTATAAATGTTGTTGTTGTTAGTGTTTAATGTCCGCTTTCACCCAAGGTGATATTGAAAACAAATGGTCTTAGCTTTATAATATGATTTACTATATTTACAGCAAATATCTTTATATTTTTGACCTTTTAATACAAAATGGTACTCATCTTCACCTCATTATCACAAAATTTACCAAATCTGTTATTTCTAACAACACTGTTTCTATAGATAAGTTATGGGCAGATAAACGGATTTTTGAAATACAATTAGTATATTTATATGGAATGGATTTGGTCAAATAATATTTTAAGTTAAAATTAAGACTAAAATGCTGATAAAAGAGGCTTTTTGATGAATTACAAATAGCTTCTACACATAATTGTATTAAAACATCTCAAATTCTATGCCTAATAGTTTTGAAATATGACAAGTAAGATTTTCTCCACATATGTCGAGTAGTCTCCCTTTAATGATCAAAATATCGGACTTACGAATCATATTAAATTTAAATATTGTCATTGTAAAAGGTGACAAATCACATACAATCACAACACAATAAACTATCATAACATGAGAATAATCTGAGCAGAGACAATTAATTGTCAGCGGTACTTATCTAAATTGATTTCATTTATTTATTTAAAAAAAAATTACAATATCGATGACGAAAGTGACAATCGACACAATTTGCAATTATAAATAAATAAATATAGCTATAATATTGAATTGTTTATTGCACTAAATATACCATAATATGCATCATTCCCCTTATCAGTGGTGCAGGACGGACGGTCTGACAAGGGCAGCTGTCTAGTCATTCGGATGGTACGAAAGACCAAGGTCCCATGTATACATTGGCGTGCCGTAAATGATCCCTTAGCAGTTGGAATTTGATATAAGAGTAGGCCGTAGTGCTGCTGCCCGGGCAAAATTTTTCCCATAGCACACTGTATGGCGTATACGTGTCTTCATTAACCCAGTTGGAGCAGAACAGTAGGACATTGAACCCTAGTTTATTTCAAGTCTGCATCACTATAGACGGGACTGTACGGCGCAGTGGACGCTTACGACTAGCACCCTGATCCATTCACTTGATCTGATATGTATGTTTGTTGTTTCTGATATCTGTATATTCTGTCTTGTCCGTAGATTTGTGCGGTGTAATTGGTTGTGTGTGGTGCTGTCTTCCTGCACTTACTATTTAATGCTATATTTCATAGCAAGTTTGAAGCACACCAAAATAGACTTTTCTAAACAGACACTCAAACAAAAAGAAAGCGAGCCAAACTCTGAATATAGGCTCATTTCACAGAGATGTCCATCTAAAGTTTTGGTGTTTTCACACAGGAGCGTTTGACGCCAAAGATTGTTGTATTTCTGCCCTGGATGCGTTAAATATTTTGGTGTAGTTATCCATAAAACTGGAGATATTTTTTTGTTTGGGAGACTGGTAACTACTTTACTTAGATTGTTTCTCAAGAGAGAGAGAGAGAGAGAAATGGGGTTTAATGTTCACTCGACACAAACTAGGTCATTTCGGGACTAACATATGGTTTAATTTTATTTCAATCATTTGCTTGCGCGTATGGGTCTTTAGCAGTGGCAGGAACCGGAGAAAACCCACGAGGTCGGACAGACGATCCTACTCCTTGTCACGTACATTGTGTACAACCATGGATTCGAAACCACACGAGTTGACTCAATGACACGCCTTATGATACATCACGCACACGCTAACCATTCGGCCACCCAACCCGCCATTGTGTCTCAAAACTGGCAACATGAATATTTTTGTAGATTTTATTTGTTGAAAATAAATTCATATAATGGAAAAATACATGAATGAACCAAATATAGGATAAGATAAGATGTTTATTGCATCAAAACATCCATTAAGCATATATCTACACTTAGACATAGTCATATACATTACATACATAGACAACACATACATGAACACAAATGTAATACCCATACGAATTTGAATATTTTGTTGACATGTGATTTTTAATATTGTGGTCTGAAAATGCCAGCTTAAATAATAAGAGTTATGCCCCTTTACTTTTAGGTAAAAATGTCTGACAAATGTAATACTCATACGAATTTGAATATTTTGTTGACATGTGATTTTTAATACTGTGGTCTGAAAATGCCAGCTTAAATAATAAGAGTTATGCCCCTTTACTTTTAGGTAAAAATGTCTGACAAAGAAAAATTTGAAATCCCATCACTGATTCATACAAACAGTGGACAGGATATAATCAGTTTCTTCAGATGTAAATGTAACTACTTCCTGTCATTCAGGTTCCAAATATATAAGCAAATGGAAATCTTATATCTTTAAGACTATCGTCATGTGTGCAATAAATGGTCAATCTTCTAATATTATGAGTTATTCGTGTTGGATAGATCCACTTCATCTTTCATTATACGACTTCATGTATCCCCAAGTTTCGGAAATGAACAAGGGATAGAGAACGTCCACTCGGGACTAACATATGGTTCAATTCTATTTTAATAATTTGATTGCACGTAGGGGTCTTTAGGAGTGGGAGGAAAAGAGGACCCGAAGGAAACCCACGAGGTTGAACAGGCAAACCCCACTCATAGCCAGGTACAACCGGGGAATCAAAATCATGCTTATTAGATTCCTCGATCATCGCGAGGACGTTAAACCCCATATCTCTCTCTCCCTCTGTTAGATTTAGGGAAAACATTTTTATCCAGTACGAGTTCTTGTGCTTCTGTAGAGTACGACTCTAATTCAATCATTTGTCACAAAACTCAGTTACAAAGTTGTTCTCCTGCATGAATTCTCATATGATTCTGCAGACTACCACTCTGGGTAAATGATTTACTACAAACATTACATTTATAAGGTCTTTCACCAGTATGAATTCTCACATGTTTCTGTAAATCACTAGTCTGGGTAAATGATTTACTACAAACATCACATTTATAAGGTTTGTCACCAGTATGAATTCTTGTGTGTGACTGTAGAGTATTTCTGGCAGTGAATGATTTATGACAAACATCACACTTATAAAGTTTTTCACCTGTATGAATTCTCACATGTTTCTGTAAATCACTAGTCTGTCTAAATGATTTACTACAAACATCACAATTATAAGGTTTTTCACCTGTATGAATTCTTGTGTGTGACTGTAGAGTATTTCTGGCAGTGAATGATTTATGACAAACATCACACTTATAAGGTTTCTCGCCTGTATGAATTCTCACATGTTTCTTCAAATCACTAGTCTGTCTAAATGATTTACTACAAACATCACACTTATAAGGTTTTTCACCTGTATGAATTCTTGTGTGTGACTGTAGAGTATTTCTGGCAGTGAATGATTTATGACAAACATCACACTTATAAGGTTTCTCGCCGGTATGAATTTTCATGTGTTTCCATCGATCATTACTTTGTGTGAATGATTTACTACAAACATCACATTTATATGGTCTTTCGCCAGTATGAATTCTCATGTGTATCTGTAGTTCACTACTCTGAATGAATGACTTACTACAAACAACACACTTATATGGTTTTTCACCAGTATGAATTCTCATGTGTGACTGGAGATTACATCTAGTGTGGTAAGATTTACTACAAACATCACATCTATAAGGTTTTTCACCAGTATGAATTCTCACATGTTTCTGTAGATTACCTAAATGACTAAATGATTTACTACAAACATCACATTTATAAGGTCTTTGTCCACTATGAACTCTCATGTGTCTCTGTAGACTACTTCTATAGGTAAATGACTTACCACAAACATCACATTTATAAGGTTTTGCTCTGGTATGAGTATGCGTTTCCATGTGACGCTTTAGTTTACGCTCTGTAGAAATTGATTTACTACAAACATCACATTTCTTAGAATATGTATAACTTGTTTTATTTTGTATTTCTTTATTTTTTTCAGGTTGTCCAGGTTGTAAAACAGATCCATCTTCAACATGTATTTCACAGTGTTTTTCTAAATTAATGTCAGATTTAAATTCTTCATCACATAAATTACACTGATAAACAGTTTCAATATCATCAGTTTTCTCTTCTTTAACATGACAATATTCATCTACATCATCAATTTTCCCTGCTTTAACATGTATTTTATTGTGATTTTCTAAATCATCATGTTGTTGAAAAATCTCATCACATACAACACATTGATGGAAGGTTTTAACATCATTAGTTTCCTGTAATATATAAAAGTTATAACATCATTAGTTTCCTGTAATATATAAAAGTTATAACATCATGAGTTTCCTGTAATATATATCACTAGGGACCGGGTCATTCAGATTTGACGAAAAAAAGAAAGAAACTGAGCTTACAATCTAGAATCTAATACACATATTCAGTTAATGCAGTCTCCCCTGTCCGTCTGTCGGTCCATCATCCACAGTTTCTTGTGAAAGCTCTAACGCCAAAAGTTATCATCTAATTGTTTTAATCCAGAAAGTTAGGGTCTGAAATATGCAAATATCAAAAGGGACTGAGAGTTTTGGAATAGAAAGATATGTTTTATCAAAATTGTGACCCCTAGAGTGTCCATAACCTTTGTATTACATACTTATACACAATTTGCAGACAAAGAGCGGACATTTTGTCAGACAGTTTCATTTCAATTTTCACGAAATTCAAACTCAACCATCATTAGGGTGTAACGGAGATATACAATGTACTAAAATGTTTTTTTTTAAAAGGATAAAAACTGTGATCTCTAGACGGATCACAAGCTAAAACGCAATTTTTTGTACAATCAGGGGCCATAATTCAGGAGGTTACGATCCGATATGCATGAACATCGAAAGTAACCAAGATCTTTGGGTTATAAACATGCATTCCAAGTTTCGTCAAAATCAGATCACAACTTTGACCTCTACAGTGTTCACAAGCTAAAAACGTGATTTTCCGTACGATCAGGGGCCATAATCCATAAAGTTATGGTCCGATACATGCCAATATTGAAAGGAACCAAGATCTATATTTCAAGTTTCGTCAAAATCAGATAAAAATTGTGACCGGTTGAGTGTCCACAAACAAATTGTGGACGGACGGACGTTGAGACGGACAGGGGCGCAACAATATATGTCCACATGAAAATGTGGGCGTATAAAAAGGGTCATAACTACTCCAGAATAACCCCAATATATCAACTTTCTTGAAATGATCAAAAAAAGAATATTTACAAATTAATTACAAAATTCAAATTCATGTCATATTTTGTGTATGAAATGAGTCAAGTTTGTCTGATAGTTTTACTGGTGCTTGTTTGTAAAGAGCACAGAGACAGAGAGAAAGAGAGATATGGGGTTAAAGTCCACTCGACACAAACTAGGTCATTTCGGGACTAACATAAAATTACCTCCCCTCGCGCAATTACCAGTATTAAGTTTAAAAGCAAAGAAACATAAATCAATTCAAAATATTTTTTATTAATCTTGCTACTCTTTTTTTTCTTTGCAACCCATACATAGATAGACTACTATAAATGTAGTAAATGTATCAACACATCATCTTTGTTTACTTCAGACACGCCCATGTGAATTCGAAAAAAACATTCCGAGTTTTCGTTAAAAACAAACCTACTAAAACATTCTTTTAATTTTTACTTCTGCACAATTAATCATCATTCCGGTTTTTAAAATCCTTCATACATGCGGGAATTTGGAGTATTTAGCAAAACCAAAATGCTTACAAAAACTACGAAAATATTGAAGTCGACCATTCCACAATTTTCAACTGTTGCATTTGGAAATTTCACTGTTCAAAACTGGAGAAATTGGTCACTACTGGATAGGAGGAATACTTATTGGGTTGAAAAATTACCATGTAACTATAAAAATACTGTAAGTTCGAGAAATTAATCTGTATAAAATCCAGCTATGTCAAATATCACATCGCTTGATTTGCCGTTGACAATTGAGATCTCGTCATGTCTCGAGCAAGCGGCAAAGAATCGAACCAACGGGACTATACGGTCTATGGTTTCTGTCAAAATTAAACCACCCCCGCAACAGCTGCAATGGGGTCATCCAACACTTAACGAAAGCATTGTTGTCGTTCACTTAGTCGAAAATACAAGTAAATAGTCAAATCTGTCAAGAGATAACTTTTTTATACGTTGGGATATTTAGTTGTGCAATGGATTTTATTGGACGGGAGTTGATTTCAAACACACAGGTAAGTTTATAATAACGAAAGTTAAGTAGTTTGTTCATAATCGAAGAAATGCGTTTAAAATTTACGATGGTTCAGACAGTAAGTACGAAACAGCTAGGTTAGAAAGAGTCTGCACCCTAATTTCGGTATTTATATGTTTTCAAGGTAAATTTCGGAATTTTTAAGGAATTCAATATTAATATTATTGTAAAATAAAAGTAAATAGGAAAATCTTGCTGGCGAATTCTGATATCTTCAAAGAGAATTCCGGTGTTTGTAAGTGAATTCCGGTGTTTGTAAGTGAATTCCGGTGTTTATAAGTACATTCCGGTGATCAGTGTACCCCTTTATAAGTTTATAAAAGTAGAATTGAAACTTACTTACCATTACTTAGTTAGTCAAATACAAAATGGAACTAAAGACACAACACTAACTAAAAACTGACTAATCGTTCAGAGGACAATAGATCAATAACGCTGAGAGAAAGATTAAAAGACTGCCTTTGTCTTCGAAGATCAATTTCCGGTGTGACGATGTGGTATGGTCCCTGGTGTGTGAATACCTTTAAGCGCATGCGCAGTTGTGCGAATAACGTCACACCGTTATAGACGCGGTGTGCATTGACTACCCGTGATAGGATTATCCTCCAAATATTCTTACGGTCAAATCGATTTCTACACTGTAACAGTCGACAGTTGAATGTAAATAGGATAGACCATTTAAATCTTTTTTGTTAATAATCTTGTAAGTAATAGATAACATCTGTTTGTTCGTAAAATGTGTAATAAATATAAACATGACCAAATTCGAGTTCGGGCCATATCTTCAATTGCAGACGGCCATAACGGGCCTTTTACATGTGACGTACTTCCGGTGTCTATTTTTAGCATGACCTTTTTCTTCACGCGTCTTACCATGGTAAACGCTAAGGAAAACGGGTTTTTTAGTCTTTTTCTTTTAATAGAAAACCTATTCTCGAATGCCACTCTTGTTGTTTAAGATGCGTGTAGCATTCGTAATAAATTACCGAATTTAAATCATGTCTAAATTAATTCTTTATCTTTGTTTTTGTTTTATTGACGATAAGCCAAACTCACACACGGTCCAGTTGACCGCTGTACACATAAGCATAAACAAAGATGCATTGCTGTATGAAGTCGATTTATATGTTTTGTGTTAATTTTAGCCTACTGCAAACAATTAATAGATAACATCTGTTTGGTTGTAAAATGCCACGAAATAGAGCATAAGAGTAAATAATAGAATGGATTAGAGTGGTGACCTGTTGTTCCACGTTGTGTGCCCGCTGGGCAAGGTGATATTGAAAACAAATGATCTTGGCTTTATAATATGATTTAATATATTTACAGCAAATATCTTTATATTTTTGACCTTTTAATACAAAATGGTACTCATCTTCATCTCATCATTATCACAAAATTTACAAAATCTGTTACTTCTAACAACACTGTTTCTATAGATAAGTTATGGGCAGATAAACGGATTTTTGAAATACAATTAGCATATTTATATGGAATGGATTTGGTCAAATAATATTTTAAGTTAAAATTAAAACTAAAATGCTGATAAAAGAGGCTTTTTGATGAATTACAAATAGCTTTTACACATAATTGTATTAAAACATCTCAAATTCTATGCCTAATAGTTTTGAAATATGACAAGTAAGATTTTCTCCACATATGTCGAGTAGTCTCCCTTTAATGATCAAAATATCGGACTTACATCCATCGCCAAAAATCTCCAAAATGATCTCTATTTGGTTGCTGAATGGTGTGAAAACAATGGGATGGTAATCAATCCTTCGAAAACAAAATCAATGCTGATTTCAACAAAACACAAAAGAAATCAGAAAAACCTAACTTTATCACTCCATGGTGAGAAAATTGAGACGGTTACTACCGCAAAATTACTTGGAATTCAAATTGACCAAGACCTTAATTGGGAAGCACAGATAGCAGATATGTCTAAAAAACTTGCATCAAAAATATTTCTCCTAAATAAGATAAAAGATCATTTACCTTACGAGACAAGAATTTTGTTTTATAACAGTTACATACTACCAATATTTGATTATTGCTCTATTATTTGGGGAAATGCTACCAAAAGTAGATTAGACATTCTTTTAAAATTACAAAAGAGGGCAGCAAGAGCTATTCTTGATGCACCGATTGAAACTCCGTCCACCTCTTTATTTACTAAACTCGGTTGGCTTACCCTTACACAGAGGATTCTTTACAATAAAATTGTCTTATCATTCAAAATTATTACATTTAATACTCCACTTTATCTAAATTTCCATTTTATTGAAAAATCTCTTGTTTCCAAAACGGATATCTTGCTCCGTTCACAGACCAGTAAATCTCTTTTTCTTCAAAAATGCAAAACGGAATCCATGAAACGTACTTTTCATTATTCTGCATGTCTTTTATGGAACAATCTGCCTTTTGATATAAAGATGTGTAAAAATGTTGAAAATTTTAAGATTAAACTGAAAACTCATCTATTTTGCACACTGTAGGAACCATAATATTCAACTGATGACATACTTATTATTTTTAACTTGCAACTGCATTCTATTTTATTTTGTGTGTAATTATAGTGTTCTTCCTATATTCTACTTGTATAATGTATATGTTTTGTAGTTTGGGAGTGACTTATCAAACTTCCCACTTTAAAATGCTATTGCATTTCTAATGATTTTAAATTTATCCTGATATTACATGTATATATGTCTTTGTAGTTTAGGAGGGACCTATGGAAGATTAGTTTTTTTTTTGCAAACTAAATACGTTGCCTCATTAAATAAAGTTTTTATTATTATTATTATTATTATTATTAAATTTAAATATTGTCATTGTAAAAGGTGACATATCACATACAATCACAACATAATAAACTATCATAACATGAGAATAATCTGAACAGAGACAATTAATTGTCAGCGGTACTTATCTAAATTGATTTCATTTATTTATTTAAAAAAAAATTACAATATCGATGACGAAAGTGACAATCGACACAATTTGCAATTATAAATAAATAAATATAGCTATAATATTGAATTGTTTATTGCACTAAATATACCATAATATGCATCATTCCCCTTATCAGTGGTGCAGGACGGAGGGTCTGACAAGGGCAGCTGTCTAGTCATTCGGATGGTACGAAAGACCAAGGTCCCATGTATACATTGGCGTGCCGTAAATGATCCATTAGCAGTTGGAATTTGATATAAGAGTAGGCCGTAGTGCTGCTGCCCGGGCAAAATTTTTCCCATAGCACACTGTATGGCGTATACGTGTCTTCATTAACCCAGTTGGAGCAGAACAGTAGGACATTGAACCCTAGTTTATTTCAAGTCTGCATCACTACAGACGGGACTGTACGGCGCAGTGGACGCTTACGACTAGCACCCTGATCCATTCACTTGATCTGATATGTATGTTTGTTGTTTCTGATATCTGTATATTCTGTCTTGTCCGTAGATTTGTGCGGTGTAATAGTTTGTGTGTGGTGCTGTCCTCCTGCACTTACTATTTAATGCTATATTTCATAGCAAGTTTGAAGCACACCAAAATAGACTTTTCTAAACAGACACTCAAACAAAAAGAAAGCGAGCCAAACTCTGAATATAGGCTCATTTCACAGAGATGTCCATCTAAAGTTTTGGTGTTTTCACACAGGAGCGTTTGACACCAAAGATTGTTGTATTTCTGCCCTGGATGCGTTAAATATTGTGGTGTAGTTATCCATAAAACTGGAGATATTTTTTTGTTTGGGAGACTGGTAACTACTTTACTTAGATTGTTTCTCAAGAGAGAGAGAGAGACAGAAATGGGGTTTAATGTTCACTCGACACAAACTAGGTCATTTCGGGACTAACATATGGTTTAATTTTATTTCAATCATTTGCTTGCGCGTATGGGTCTTTAGCAGTGGCAGGAACCGGAGAAAACCCACGAGGTCGGACAGACGATCCTACTCCTTGTCACGTACATTGTGTACAACCATGGATTCGAAACCACACGAGTTGACTCAATGACACGCCTTATGATACATCACGCACACGCTAACCATTCGGCCACCCAACCCGCCATTGTGTCTCAAAACTGGCAACATGAATATTTTTGTAGATTTTATTTGTTGAAAATAAATTCATATAATGGAAAAATACATGAATGAACCAAATATAGGATAAGATAAGATGTTTATTGCATCAAAACATCCATTAAGCATATATCTACACTTAGACATAGTCATATACATTACATACATAGACAACACATACATGAACACAAATGTAATACCCATACGAATTTGAATATTTTGTTGACATGTGATTTTTAATATTGTGGTCTGAAAATGCCAGCTTAAATAATAAGAGTTATGCCCCTTTACTTTTAGGTAAAAATGTCTGACAAATGTAATACTCATACGAATTTGAATATTTTGTTGACATGTGATTTTTAATACTGTGGTCTGAAAATGCCAGCTTAAATAATAAGAGTTATGCCCCTTTACTTTTAGGTAAAAATGTCTGACAAAGAAAAATTTGAAATCCCATCACTGATTCATACAAACAGTGGACAGGATATAATCAGTTTCTTCAGATGTAAATGTAACTACTTCCTGTCATTCAGGTTCCAAATATATAAGCAAATGGAAATCTTATATCTTTAAGACTATCGTCATGTGTGCAATAAATGGTCAATCTTCTAATATTATGAGTTATTCGTGTTGGATAGATCCACTTCATCTTTCATTATACGACTTCATGTATCCCCAAGTTTCGGAAATGAACAAGGGATAGAGAACGTCCACTCGGGACTAACATATGGTTCAATTCTATTTTAATAATTTGATTGCACGTAGGGGTCTTTAGGAGTGGGAGGAAAAGAGGACCCGAAGGAAACCCACGAGGTTGAACAGGCAAACCCCACTCATAGCCAGGTACAACCGGGGAATCAAAATCATGCTTATTAGATTCCTCGATCATCGCGAGGACGTTAAACCCCATATCTCTCTCTCCCTCTGTTAGATTTAGGGAAAACATTTTTATCCAGTACGAGTTCTTGTGCTTCTGTAGAGTACGACTCTAATTCAATCATTTGTCACAAAACTCAGTTACAAAGTTGTTCTCCTGCATGAATTCTCATATGATTCTGCAGACTACCACTCTGGGTAAATGATTTACTACAAACGTTACATTTATAAGGTCTTTCACCGGTATGAGTTCTCACATGTTTCTGTAAATCACTAGTCTGTCTAAATGATTTACTACAAACATTACATTTATAAGGTTTGTCACCAGTATGAATTCTTGTGTGTGACTGTAGAGTATTTCTTGCAGTGAATGATTTATGACAAACATCACACTTATAAGGTCTTTCACCAGTATGAATTCTCACATGTTTCTTCAGATCACTAGTCTGTCTAAATGATTTACTACAAACATCACACTTATAAGGTCTTTCACCAGTATGAATTCTTGTGTGTGACTGTAGAGTATTTCTGGCAGTGAATGATTTATGACAAACATCACACTTATATGGTGTTTCACCTGTATGAATTCTCACATGTTTCTGTAAATCACTACTCTGTCCAAATGATTTACTACAAACATCACACTTATAAGGTTTGTCACCAGTATGAATTCTTGTGTGTGACTGTAGAGTATTTCTGGCAGTGAATGATTTATGACAAACATCACACTTATAAGGTTTCTCGCCGGTATGAATTTTCATGTGTTTCCATCGATCATTACTTTGTGTGAATGATTTACTACAAACATCACATTTATATGGTTTTTCACCAGTATGAATTCTCATGTGTATCTGTAGTTCACTACTCTGGATGAATGACTTACTACAAACAACACACATATAAGGTTTTTCACCGGTATGAATTCTCATGTGTGACTGGAGATTACATCTAGTGTGGTAAGATTTACTACAAACATCACATATATAAGGTTTTTCACCAGTATGAATTCTCATATGTTTCTGTAGATTACCAAAATGACTAAATGATTTACTACAAACATCACATTTATAAGGTCTTTGTCCACTATGAACTCTCATGTGTCTCTGTAGACTACTTCTATAGGTAAATGACTTACCACAAACATCACATTTATAAGGTTTTGCTCTGGTATGAGTATGCGTTTCCATGTGACGCTTTAGTTTACGCTCTGTAGAAATTGATTTACTACAAACATCACATCTAAAACATTTCTTAGAATATGTATAACTTGTTTCAGAACTTGTTTTATTTTGTATTTCTTTAGTTTTTTCGGGTTGTCCAGGTTGTAAAACAGATCCATCTTCAACATGTATTTCACAGTGTTTTTCTAAATCAATGTCAGATTTAAATTCTTCATCACATAAATTACACTGATAAACAGTTTCAATATCTTCAGTTTTCTCTTCTTTAACATGACAATATTCATCTACATCATCAGTTTTCTCTTCTTTAACATGACAATATTCATCTACATCATCAGTTTTCTCTTCTTTAACATGACAATATCCATCTACATCATCTGTTTTCTCTTCTTCAACATGACAACATTCATCTACATTATCAGTTTTCCCTTCTTTAACATGTATTTTATTGTGATTTTCTAAATCATCAATTTGCTGAAAAATCTCATCACATACAACACATTGATGGAAGGTTTTAACATCATTAGTTTCCTGTAATATATAAAAGTTATAACATCATTAGTTTCCTGTAATATATAAAAGTTATAACATCATTAGTTTCCTGTAATATATAAAAGTTATAACATCATTAGTTTCCTGTAATATATTAAATTTATAACATCATTAGTTTCTTGTAATATATATATCACTAGGGACCGGGTCATTCAGATTTGATGAAAAAAGGAAAGAAACTGAGCTTACAATCTAGAATCTAATACACATATTCAGTTAATGCAGTCTCCCCCGTACGTCTGTCGGTCCATAGTCGACAGTTTCTTGTGAACGCTCTAAAGTCAAAAGTTATCATCCAATTGTTTTAATTCAGAAAGTTAGGGTCTGAACTAAGCAAATATCAAAAGGGACTGAGAGTTTTGGAATATAAAGATATGTTTTATTAAAACCGGATCAAAATTGTGACCCCTAGAGTGTCCATATCCTTTGCATTCCAATTCGCAGACAAAGAGCGGACATTTTGTCAGACAGTTTCATTTCAATTTTCACGAAATTCGAACTCAACCATCATTAGGGTGTAACGGTGATACAAATAAAACGTTTTTTTAAATCGGATAAAAATTGTGACCTCTAGACGGATCACAAGCTAAAACGCAATTTTGCGTACAATCAGGGGCCATAATTCAGGACGTTACGATCCAATATGCGTGAACATCGAAAGTAACCAAGATCTTTGGGATATAAACATGTATTCCAAGTTTCATTAAAATCAGATGAAAATTGTCGCCTCTAGAGATTCCACAACCTTGATATATCATATTTTTACACCATTTGCGTACAAGGGGCTGCCATTTTGTCCGGCAGTTTTGGTCCGATTTTCACAAAATAAGAACTCAACCATCATTAGAGTTTAATGGTGATATACTACAATGGTGTTATAAATCGGATAAAAATTGTGATCTCTAGAGGGACCACAAGCTAAAAACATGATTTTTCGTATACAATCAGGGGCTGTAATCCATGAAGTTATGGTCAGATACATGCCAATATCGAAAGGAACCAAGATCTATATTTCAAGTTTCGTCAAAATCAGATAAAATCAGTGACCGGTTGAGTGTTCGTAAATTGTGGACGGACGGACGATAAGACGGACAGGAGCGCAACAATATATGTCCACATGAAAATGTGGGCGTATAAAAAGGGCCATAACTACTCCAGAATAACCCCAATATATCAACTTTCTTGAAATGATCAAAAACAGAATATTTACAAATTAATCACAAAATTCAAATTCATGTCATATTTTGTGTATGAAATGAGTCAAGTTTGTCTGATAGTTTTACTGGTGCTTGTTTGTAAAGAGCAGAGAGAGAGAGAGAGAGAAATGGGGTTTAATGTCCACTTGGCACAAACTAGGTCATTTTCGGGACTAACACATGTTTCAATTTCCACTGGCCTTTTACGTACGACCTTGGTGTTTTGTCCCATCTGAATGACTAGACAGCTGTTCTTGTCAGGCCCTCCGTTTTGCACCATTGACGAGGGGAATAAATAAAATAAAACCAAGTACGAACAATCCAAACCATTAGACAAAATTCGAAGTCCTAAAAAACAAAAACGGTATAGGCAAAATAGTGTAATAAGGCAAAATAGTGTAATTAGCATATGGACTGTTCACCGTGTACAAAATACACGACAAACAGTGGTAACAGGTGTCCGGAAGAGTAAGCTTACCCTGCCTGGCGCCACACCCGCCATAGCTGCATCCAAACTATTTGGTGAAATCTCGGTAAAATAGCGTGATTGGCCAATGGACTATCGGTATGCAAAATGCATGTGATGAACAGTGTTAACGATGTAGTAGACAAATATTATCAGGGAGATTGTATACGCGTCAATTAAATATATCTAGAATAATAGCTGAGAGAGACATGTTATATTTACCAATCAAGTCAATATGACGCCCATAAAACTTTTTAAAGGTTTTAATAAGTTTAGTTCGCAAATATCCCTGTAGTTGAAGCTTAGATGACAAATGCCTCGATCTACTTAAAAAATCAGAATAAAATGAACAAGCTATCGCGTAACGAATTCGTTGAGACACAAACACTCCGTTAGCTGGTGATATTGGAATGTTACTACTAATAAATGGAAAGTTAACAATCGGAAAGTCAAAGTCATCATATTTATTGTACAATTTAACACTAAGTTTGTGGCAATTGTCAAAATCGAGACGCAGATCCAAGTAGGAAGCGTAATTGTCACTGTCAGTAGTGTTTTTAATTTCGAGCTCATCAGGATATATGAATTTTACATAATCACTAAATTTTGGATTATTCAGTGATAGTACATCATTGATATATCGATAAGTGAAATTAAAATGTCTGACTAATCGTTTATTGATTTTACGAGTGCCTGTATGTAATCGGCTTCGTAGGAATAGAGAAACAAATCAGCAAGCAAAGGTGCACAGTTGGTGCCCATGGGGATACCTACCACTTGCTGATAAATTTCCCCTCCAAATTCAACAAAGATATTATCAATTAAAAAATCCAACATCTGAATTATCTTGTTGGCGGTGAATTTATTTTTGGAATCACTATGGTTCTTAACAAAATATGTAGAATTGTAATTAACAACTAAATATTGATATCTAACATTTCCCGATTTAGAAGAAAAGACACTGAATAATGTCTTTTAACCGAGCTTTTAATTTACTATGGGGAATTTTAGTGTACAAAGTAGAAAAGTCAAAAGTTTGTATAGATGAGATTGAAGCAAGAGATCTAGATCGTAAACCCACGCCAGTTGACTCAATGACAGACCTTATGATACAGCGTGCATGTGTTAACCATTCAGCCTTCCATCTCCCCCTGCCCCCCATCAAACAAAGAATGTAACATCAGGATTATCGGTTAATCAGCTTTATCGTTGCCATTTCTAATATTTTCCAAAAAGACTTATTTGTACGCACTAGTTTATCAACTTGTTGAGAAATGCATGTCAACGTGCATCTTACGAATTATCGTTAAAAATTTCTAGGGCCCTGTAAAAACAGTGCATGTCATGTAAATATAGTATTTATGTACTTCATATTATTCTTTATTAAAAAAAATAATTATTACTTTTAAGGGAAACAATGATTATCAAAGAACCATTAGTGCTGCTAATGTTTTATCGTTTGGTTGAGCCTTTTAATAACGACATGTTTCATGTTAATATTTTCTTTCCTGCTTTGAATTGGCCTACTTCAATTAATTCATCCGCTACCTTTTTACACTGGTAGCCTACATATTACAGATATAAAGAAAGAAAACATTCTTTTCATAAACATTCAACATTGGGAATTTTGCCATTCCTATACGGTGCATGATTAAAAACAACAAAAGGAAGTTGGATTTTATCAAATTTTATTTCAACTTATTTCAACAATGTACGAAGTCTCAGTCTGGTACAAAGTGAGGTACGAATGAATTAAGTACGAAACAGCTAGGTTAGAAAGAGTCTGCACCCGAATTTCGGTATTTATATGTTTTCAAAGTAAATTTCGGGGATTTTCTGAGTTTTTAAGGAATTCAATATTAATATTAATGTAAAATATAAGTCAATAGGAAGATCTTGTTGGCAAATTCTGATATCTTCAAAGAGAATTCCGGTGTTTGTAAGTGAATTTCGGTGTTTATAAGTACATTCCGGTGATTAGTGTACCCCTTTATAAGTTTATAAAAGTAGAATTCAGACTTACTTACCATTATTTAGTTAGTCAAATATAAAATGGAACTAAAGACACAAGACTGACTAAAAACTGGCTAATCGTTCAGAGGACAATAGATCAATAACGCTGAGGAAAACACTGCCTTTCGTCTTTGAAGATCAATTTCCGGTGTGACGATGTGGAATGACCCCTCGTGTGTGATTACCTTCGAGCGCATGCGCAGTAGTGCGAGTAACCTCACACCGTTATAGACACGGTGTGCGTTGACTACCCGTGATAGGATTACCCTTCCAAATATTCTTACGGTCAAATCGGTTTCTACGCCATAACAGTCGGCAGTTGAATTGTTGAATGTAAATAGCAGGGGCGGATCTAGGAATTTTGAAAAGGGGGGAGGGGGCGCCGCAAAATGAGGGCACTGACCGCGGAGACTGGGCACGCCGCTGCATCTGTAGCCATTCCAAGAGCTATTTGGCTGGTATTTTCGTTTAAGTAAACGTTCGGAAATCGTTGAAAAAGAGCCTTAAAATCGAGCAAAAGAGCCAGATGAACATCCGACGCGAAAATTGTCAAGGCGAGCGAATTATTGTTAAAATGGTATATTTCACTCCTTAAACATGCATTATGCAATAGCTAAAGCTGCCTATTTCAGGTCTTTCTTTAGGCCTGAAATGTTATCTAAATTATTAATTAGACATTAATTAACCTATCCAGGCCATAATCAACTCTAGATGGCTGCGCTAGCCTGCGATCTTTAGTGGATTGTAAGCCGATTTACTACATAACTTTCCTTCTCATTAAACGATTAAATGGATAATCGAGACTATGCTGTTTATCGTGATGACTTTAGTAATGATGACCGAGGCTTATGGGAATTTCAGTCGCTTAGTTCTCGGTTCATAGTGGATCAATTTGAATGAAATTTTCACCAAATTGCCTTCTACCTTATATAGTTTTTAACTATTATAGTGAGAACTGCCAATTCGTTACCGAATCTCCCATAATGTATCTTTAAATACGGAATATATAAAGATAGTACATGATGGAAAAAAAGACGAATCTATTCCCTAGCCACTTCACTATTTGAGCCTTGTAACCTCCCTGATAACATTCACTGATGAGTACCATATGGGACCCCAACATTCATATGGGATCCATATGGGTACTAAATGGGGTTTGTGTGGGATCTATATGGGTAAGTCATTTAACATAATATGGGTGTTATATGGGGCTTACATGGGACCTATATAGCAATGTTAGGAAATATAATATGGGTACTATATGGGACTCATGTGGGGTGCAAATAAATGTAATATGGCGCTTGCATGAGACCCATATGGCCATGTTAAGAAATGTAATATGGCTTCTATATGGGACTCATTTGGGGTGCAAATAAATGTAATATTGGCATAATATGGGACTCATATAGGATCTTTGTGGATATGCCATGTTATGTATTATGGGCCATCTTTGGGATCCATATGAGTCTTCTCTGGGTCTCTCATTTAAATGATAATTAAAGCACAAAGCAATTTGAACAGAGTTTCTTAAGACTAGAAATTATAGCCGAACTAAGACTAATATAATACAAGTATCTTCTGATGTATGATCATATTCTATTACATGCTAGGTAACTCTATTTTAATAAATATTAAGTGTGCTACCCTGCTCTATGTAACTTTGATGAATTCTCTGGTAATTTAAGCATGGTAAACAACAAGTACCAAATAAGTACAAAACTATTTATATTTGGTTTCATGTTTTATTATTATGCTTTCTCAATTAGGACAGTTAAAATTCATTGAGATCTCCCACCATCCCGTCCTTTGAATTTTGTCAGCAAACCAGTTCAAACGACTAACTGCAGCTTTGATTTCCTTGTTTGTGGTGATCTGTAATTCAAAAGGAATGCACATTATATTAGGTCTGTTGATGTGCAACCTGACAAAGCAAAACAACTCTTTCCATATGATCTCCCCTTAGACCACAAAACACATACAATTCAAATCTAAATTGCACCTGAAATATGCAGAGGGTTCAAAAAGACTTTTGATGAACGATTGTAAAAACATTAAAATAAACCCCATCGTATCAGAACTATTATTGATATGCATTTATTTCCAACGATGACTATCATCAATATTACTTACTAAAAACAATGGTAGCTGTAGCATGTGCCCCTAATTCACGCTTGCCTTTTTATCCTGTCCAATTGTAAAGGCGTTGTACATAAGTGACACTGAGATTCTTCATGATGTTGTGAACGATGGACAGGACATCTCTGCCACCTAATCACATATCGACATATCGAACGAAACTATTCTTCCATAAATTCACATTTATTTTAATGCGAGTTGTCACGTCTTAAAACATTCACACCCAAGCAGCTTCATCATCCTGATCATTAATAAAATGGTTACAGTTTTTTGTGAAAAAAGGGCACCAGACAAAAGCATATATCTGTCAGTGTTGTTCTAACATACCTATATCAACAAATTTGACTTGTAACTTTTTTGTTTTGGAGGGGGGGGGGGCATAATATAGAGTCCATACTAATATATATGACTGTCGTTTGTTTGTCATTCTGTTCAAGGTTGGAAGTTACACCAAGGCTGTCATCGAGGCTGAATATTTTGTGTATAGGTGTGGCACCAAAGTAGAGTTTTACCAAATTCAGTTATAATGTCCCTTATATGTATTTCGTTGTATAGCTGATAAAACTTTCCGACGTTTTGTTCAGCGAGAGCAAGAAACATATTTTGCCATGACACGCATTAATACGTGTTATAAGTTGAAAATGTAAATAGTCACCTTTCTTGAAATGACATCTTTCTTGTTTCAGAGTTTGCCAATATTTTCAAAATAACAGAAAAAAAGAAACATCTATTCAAATCCATCCTCATATTATTACAAAACTTTTATATAAGTACTTTGATGCGATATATATATATATATATATATAGGTATATTTCCACACAAAATGATCAAGTCAGTTAAGTAACAGATGTAGCCTTTATAGGTCAAAGCAAAAATTTTCAAAATATAGAAACTTTAAAAACTTTCATTTCAGTTTATTTTGTCGAAAAGTTGAGTGATACTCCAAAAACCATTGAGTATATTGTAGTATAGGAAGGGTGGGACAAATTTACCTTTGATTAAATTTTGTGAACTGATTGCAGAGATGTGTACCACTTTGACCTGTTTCTTGTTAGTACTAACTTCTAGCTGCTATACACATGTACTTCTGCATTTCAGAATCTAAAATTAAGCCAATGACCAAACAGACTAAATTGGTTGTTAAGGATGACTCGCTGACAGGTATTCACGGTTGACTTGATGAACTCTGTTGTATGGTCAGATATTATATAATTTGAGTACAGAATCTGCTATAGTCATTAAAATCTAACTAGCAAGATACCTTGACTTTTTTCTTTAAAGAAAAATGTATTACGATTCTTTTGCTTTAAAGCTCTACAGAGACTGGCATTTATTTTGAATGGTAGAGTGAAGTACATATATCTTAAAATGAAAATATGTATCACAATTTCATTCATAAACAAACTCAATTTTTTATTCATGGTAAACTTATTATAGTCTGTGATAAGGAGAATTCTGCTGTAATTTGTTTAATGTTTGCAAAGTATATATTAGTGCACCACTTAATTCTATAGTAAGCTAAAATATTAATAAAAGATCTCCAAATTGTTTGGATTTTAATTTTATTTAAAATATAAAACAAATTTCAGTACGGCAGTAGAATAAATCATCTACCTATGGAGTACCTATTTATGTTGCGCGTAAAAGCTTTAGCAGCTTTGCAAGTATGATTCATAATATTATTAATATATGATATACTTTTTGAAAATAAGTTTATATAAATTCCTATTATATGTGTTGCGACCCATTTGTGCCAATTTCTAGCTCCAAAATATTACCGATTTAGCTCCTTTAAAGTCAATCGGATATTAACTTTAGCCTCTAGAGCGTCCACAAGCAATTGTGGACGCCGGACAGACGGGGGTGACGACAATATACGACCACATTTCAATGTGGGCGTATAAAAAAATGAAATAAATGTAAAACTCTGAAGGAGTACTGACATGTTTAGGTCACGCCTTGTCACAATCTAATTACACCATGAATTATTGAGTATAGTAACATCCAATACCTATTAAAGATGTTGTCCCGGTAGTACTGGCCTGTAACACGCCCTGCAACAACATGTAAAGCCGTTCTTCCAGCAACAGTCATGCCTCCCCACACCATAACAGAACCACCCCCAAATCGATCATGTCTGATGACGTTAACGTCTTGGAAGCGCTCGTTTCGACGACGCCACACCCTCCTACGTCTGTCCAAAAAATCAACAGTGAACCTTGACTCATCTGAAAACATCACATTGCTCCAGCGTCGATTATCCCAGTGTTGACGATCCCTACACCAACGACGTCTTGCCTGAATGTGATGATCTCTCAAACAAGGGATCACGCGAGGACGTCGGGCGCGAAGGTGACCCCTATGCAGTCGATTCCGAATCGTCTGGCCACTCACTCTCACACCAGTGTCTGTTTGAAGACGAGCGCTGATCTGATTTGCTGTGATGACACGATTTCTCAAGGCCAAGGTACGGATAAATCGATCCTGGGCTTGAGTTGTCGCCCTTGGTCGACCTGAGCGTGGTCTGTCCTGTACAGATTGTGTATCACGGTATCTGGACCATAGCCTGCTTATGACAGACTGAGAAACATTCATCGTCCGCGCCACAACCGCCTGTGTTGTGCCGATCTGTAGCATGCCAAGGGCACGTAACCTTTCATTTTGGGTAAGCCGACGCATATCAAAATTTGTTTTCTGGTCACTAAAACAATTAAACTGATGTTTCCACCCTGGAATTCAATGCCACAATGATTGTAACATTCAAAGTCAGAGTCGTGCAAATCTTGGGTTGGACCCCCATGATGATCCCAAGCATCACATGCATTCCATGTGGTAGCTATTGGTGCGTTTGGGCGTCACATGTAACTGGAAATGTTTCTTCTGTTAGGTTCTTTAGTGACTTTTTTCGTAGTCATTTGCATATTTTAGTATTATGCTCCCAAAATCAAATATCCCCTACTTTTTTGGAATAGTATATTTCAGACAAAGAACGAATAGTAATAA